AAGTGCCTACTGCTTGAACCTAACTGAGTGTAGGAGTGAGATTCACGAGAACGGGTCGAGAAGAATGAATGGCTTGATTGAACGAGAACTTTGAGACAAATGGAAAGGAGAACAGAGCTGAGAGAGAGTGTGTTTAGAGAGAGAAGTTGATGATTTTAGAGATAGAGTCTGAAAAATTCTATCCCCTCACCCACCGAAGTAAATGCCATATTTATAGGCTACATGGTGGTGGGTGAGTGGTTGGGTTACAAGTGGGTACAATGATGTGACCACTGACATGTCAGGGATTTAGGCCATACTTTTAGGACCCTGATGTGACTACTCCTGACATAGGCAGGACTATACCTAGGACTATGATGGTGACTACCCGTGGGATGACGCGGCGCCGCTTCTACGGCTTCTCGGTAAGGGTCCACGCCTGTGCAACGCGTCGTCGTTTAGTGTTTACGCGCGCCTCTACGGGGGGTGGTCTTTACCTGCGCGCTTGATTCCGGCGCGACTCGCGCGCTCGACTCTGGCGTGACTAGCGCGCTTGACTCCGGTGTGACTCGCGTGCTTTGCCTTGGCGTGAGTATCCTTGGTGCTTCTTCAGTGGGGTGAGATCCGAGTCACATGCCCAACAATTGCCCCCATCAGGGGGTATTCCGCGAATGCCACCTGTTTGATCTTCGTGTGGCTGACTCGGATCTGGGCAATTCCATCTTTTTCCGCGCTATTGACTGGGATGGGTGCAATCTGGGCGAGTCGGGGTCTTTCTGGTCTTCGCGTGATCTTCGTGTCCTCAGTGGCGCGCGCATCCTGTGCATCGCGGGTGTTGTCCATTTGATTTGCGTGCGCTCGGCTCGATTTTGTTGGGTTCTTCGCTTGCGCGCGTTATCTTTAGGTTGAGGATGGCGCCGGTCGAAGTTGGTGTGTCATGCCCCCCTTTCGCACACTTCTACTGATCGTTCGCTGGAATTAGACGACGGTTCCGGTGGTGGGAACGGCGGCGATGGCGATGGGGTTCCGGCGACGCCATCGTTCGACATCGAGTCGGAGGACGATCTCGGCGGTTCTCCCGACGAGGGTATGGGTGCTTCCGGGAGCGGGCAGGCGAGATAAGGGGCTCGTGGGGTGCTGATAGTCCGCCGTGGTCGTGATGGGAGGCCGGTGGTTGCTGATGATAACGTGCGCGAAGACTCTGGCGCACAATCAGAGCCGCACTATAATGTGCGCGTATCTGAGGCTATGGCTCGACTCGGATTACGCGGTATTGGCGCCGCGTATAATGTTATAGAGCGGGCCGAGATGTGGGGAGATCAACCAGCGCCGCATGACAACCTCAAGCACGGACCCGAACACGCCTCCTTATACGATGTCGGTGACGTGGATGAGATAGTGCGCGGGCTGCGCTTGCCCCCCAATTGGCAGTACGCCGCTCCGTCTACGCGCAGCATGATGGGTAATTGCCCCGCGGGGTGGTTTGGCTTGTACACAGAGTATTAGGTGATGGGGTTTAAGTTCCCCATCGACCCGCTCTTGTGCGCTTTGTATAGGCGCCTCAACTACTCCGTTGGGCGGCTCTCTCCGTCGGTGATCATGCACGTGAGTTGTCTCCGCCTCGCGTGCAAACGGCTTAATATCGAGCCGACTTACGGCCTCTTCCGGAAGATATATAAGATCAAGGAGCCAACCACGCGGAGCGACTGCCTTTCTATTAAGCGTCGCGACAAGAGGCCCGATGGCTTCGTGTACGGATCGCCCAAATTGAAGAAGACTTGGTTCGAACGTTTTTTCTACGTCAAGCCCGTTCCTGGAGAGTGGGCGAGTGAGTTTGTTGAGGAGCCTACTGAATGGAAGAAAGGCAGTACGCACGGGTACGAGTCGGATGCCGGCGTCTATGACGGGCTGGACGATGAGTATGAGGCGTGCATGGATCATAGGATGAACTTATATGCCACGGGAGTGCGCGAGGCTTGTTTGCAGGAGCTGTTCGCCGATGGTTAGTTGTATTTCTTTTGTTTTGCATTCTATCATATTAACCGCTTTCTTACGACTTATTGGCGCAGGTGTTGATTTCTCCAACCTGGTGAGCATGATGTCGGTTGACGACGTCGTGAAGGCGTCGCGCGCTGATAAGAAGAAGAAGAAAAAGAAGAAGAAGAAGAAGAAGAAGAAGAAGGAGGAGGAGGAGGGCGCGGCGCCGAGGGGCGCGAAGCGGAAGGAGATTGAGCAGCCCCGGGCGGTTGAAAGCCCCGTAAGGTGGCTCGCGTAGAGGAAACAAGTGCGCAGGAGGCGCGGGCTCCACCGGCGGAACAAACGCTGTCTGATGCGCGGCAGCTATCCCTGGCGCTTTCACAGCCGGAGGCGGTGGTGACCAGACCCTCTCGGTCTGAGAGAGAGAAGGCGGGGAGTTCGTCCGGTGCCACCGTCCAGCAGAAGCTGCCCGAGATGGCAGGCTTTGTGGGGACTGCCGCAGCCACCTCTCCCGGCGCTGCCGCTGTCAACTACTTCCGCGATGTGCGGATTCATACCTCGGCGGCGTGCAACCTTGTGGCCGCGAATACCGCGCTTCGTGCGCTTGGGCCTGTCTTAAGTGTTCCGCCGCGGGTGGAGAAGTCTGATCCCCTTCATGACTTGGCTCAGATCCACTTTGCGGTAAGATCCGGCTCAGTTTTATCGCGTCTTATCTCTCTCTCTTTTTCTTTCCCCCTTTTTTAATGTATTGTCTTGCTAAGTCTATGAGCGCTGTGGTTGTAGGGTTTGTCGGCGACCTTCCGGGCTCAGAAGGAGCGCGCACTACAGCGCGCCAGGATAAAGGATGACGAAGCCAAGATCGTCCAGCTGGAGGGGAAGGTTGTCGGGGCGAACAACTGCGCCGACGTGGCCACCAACAAAGCTAATGAGGCGATGGAGGAACTTGTTCTCCTGCAGAGCAAGCTGGCTGCCGACGTGGAGGCGGCAAAAGAGCAGGTGAGAGCTGAGGAGCGCTCGACCATCCGCAGTCAGCTGGAAGCCTCTTATGATGAGAAGCTGAAACAAGCTCGCAAAGAGCTTCAAAGGGAGAAGGATGACCTGGTCCACCTTCACAACATTGCGAAGGCGGAAGCTGTTCGCGAGGCCGAGGTCGCGGCCGTTCGCCAGTTCAAGTCTTCTCCCTTTTTCGGGAAGATTTTGGCTGATGCTATGACCAAGGTCGTGCTCGCGGTCGGGAAGAAGATTCGGCCGGAGAACCCGGAAGTCCGCTGGGACACGCGCGAGATGGTCTGCCACGTCCAGACGTGGATTGGCGAGAAGCGGCCCTTGGAGTCTGACTCCGAGTCGGGTGATGAGGATGACGAAGAGGGTGATGAGGAAGAGGAAGATGAAGGGGAAGAGCGCCAGGTTGGGGAGAAGGCTGAGGGCGCAAGCAGGGATACTGAGGGAGCTGATGATGACGATGAGGAGGATGCTCAGCCCCTGTTGCGCCGTAAGCAGAGTAAAGAGGGCCAAAGTGCCTAAGTGTCTTTGCGTTGACATGTTCCCTTTCTGCGTTTGTTGCTTTGTTGTCTTTCTTGTTTTCTTCTTTCTTCTCTTAAGTGTAATTGCGATTATTTGTTGCTCCCGCTTAATTGAATCCAAAGAGTTCTTATTCACGGCGTTTGTTTGTTCCTTTGAATCGAGTGAGCGCGAATAGTGTTGGACTATTGCTAATGTTTGTTCTTCCGACCTGAGGAGGCGCGAATAACTCTTAGTTATTGCTATTATTATTTTTTTTTTTTGAACTGTGAGGGCGCGAATAACTCTTAGTTATTGCTATTTTTTGTTCTCTCGAACTGTGAAGGCGCGAATAACTCGTAGTTATTGCTATTTTTTGTTCTTTCGAACTGTGAAGGCGCGAATAACTCGTAGTTATTGCTATTTTTTGTTCTTTCGAACTGTGAAGGCGCGCATAGTTGGGAAGTCAATATACATCCCTTTGCGATTGTTGATTGGATGCCAAATAATATTTACAGTTGACCAAATATGGATGCTCTTATAAGAAAAAAAAAATGTGATTTTAGATAATAGAGCACTAGAAATAATAGTTAAGAAACTCTAACTTGAAAGTGAAATTCGACAACGACAATAATTACTAAGAAAAGAAAAGCAGGAGAAATAGTCAATGATTGAAATACGAAAAGGGTACCCCAAATATAGATAAGTTGTTTGTATTACACCATTTCAACGTGTCAAAATATATTATATAATTGCAATCAATCAATGGTTATGGTTAAGAGTTCATATATTTAAAATGCCCAAACTGTACTGAAGATGGAGTAGGTGAAGGTTCAATGTATAGTACGGGTATGGTAGATAAATTGTTAAATACCCCATAGAATACTATGATAGTTGGTATGGCGGAAAAATCGTTAGATACCCGGTAGAATACTGTGATACTATCATACCGATTTAATTATTAATATGTGATTTTATTGTTATATGATGCAATATCATACACGTTGTATATGACTTATATTGGTTAAGAATTCATGAAACTAATGCATACATGGACCGTAAATGTGTTTTCATCTACACTTTCAAAATTCAAAATTATACTTGCCCTTGTTCCCGCGTGGGTGTAAATTTTGTATCCTAATTCTCATTCTCCGGATTTTTGGATATCCGTGATAATTTCCACCTTGCATAAGCCACAAATATTCAATTTAAATTAGTGCAATCAAGTTGAAAATATGAACAATTTTGGAGCTTGAATGCTGAATAGACAACAACAAAATGTGAATTTAAGGAGTTCAGGATAGTGTTATTTCTAAATTTTGATGAAAATTTGAAAAAGGATTGATCATATGACACGTAACTGGATGTAGTTAGATGGTATAAGAATTGCATGCATATATGGATGGAGCAGGAACACCTAATGTCATTCCTACCATGCTCACTACAATGAAGGCAGAAATTCCATAAACTGACAAGATCGAATACCCACGATTGTGGATGAGATTGTCTTCCCTATCTCCCATCCTGCTTCAAACGTAGAGATCTCAACATGATTCATTTTATAAAACCTCACATTAACTCGTATCCAAATGCGATAGGAACGGTGTCAAGGATAACAAAATTTTCAACCACTCACAACTTACTTTTCTTGTTCTTCTTCTGTTTTTGTTTTTTTTTAGGATATATGCTAGATAACATACCCTGAAAATTGAAGCCTAAAAAACAACTAAAAGCACATCCCACCTTTACATTTTCACTTATGGCCAGACAAAACCAGGCCCCTACCCAAATTGAAATCGAGGCCTTTTGGAAGCCTTTCACCATCACCATCATTCCCCCACAAGGGTTAATCTCATTGGATGCACCCTAGAAAAAATGGCCACAAAAAAAAAGAAGAAAATGTTATCTTCTTCCCAACTCTGGTGGGTGGGCCTAGCTTAGGGCTCATGATTGGTCCTTTCTGAAAATGTACAAACAAAAAGAAGCCAACTTTTTCACCCCTTGGATTGATTCCTCTGTTTCCCATTTCCTTTCATGATATAGATCCTGTGTTCCCAGAAATGGAAAATCATGTAAATTTTCAGTATGTTTACTTGGTCATATGAGACTTTTCTAGTTAAGTTCTGGCTCAATATTGTAACAAGAATCGAGTGAAAACTATCACATGAAAAGAGTCAGTTCTTAATAAAATTCGCAGAAATTTAAAACAATCACGTTAGAACAACACAAATAACTTCCGTTATCTATAAGTAACTTTCTATCGCACCTTGTCCTTCGTAAATTTTGCACCACCACCTTGTATTATATGAATGGTTAGACCTAAACGACTTAGATAGATTAACGACGGCTATCGAATACAGGAGCGAATGCATGTTCTTCATGTGGAAGAGAGGCAAGAAGTGAACACAAATGATAATTGTGTGCAAATTTCCAGTACACCAAATAAGAGCACTTCTACTATGCTATATAGTATTGGTGCTTTAATGTACAACTTGAAGTTGTACAATAACATTAAATGTATAAGTTTAAGTTGTACCATAAAAGAATTTGTATCATTATGTTATGGTATAACTTTACAACTTGAAGTTGTACTATCACATAAGGTACAAGTTTAAGTTGTACCATAAAAGAATTTGTACAAAAGTATAGGTACAATATGAAGTTGTACCATAACATTAAAAATACAATTTCAAGTTGTACCATAAATGTAAAAACCTATAGCACCAATACTATATAGCATTGTAAAATTACTCCACCAAATAAAGGGTCTACTTGAATATATAGACGAACCAGACTGCTGAAACAATACAATTTGAGGGACTGAAGTGGTAATAAAATTTGATTTAGGTACTGATTGACACATATCCCAAAAGTAGTAAGAAGAGAGAGGGAGAGGGGATTTCTTACTTCTTAAAATGGAGCTGTTAAGGTTCTACAAAGAGTGTTCTTTTTAGGCAGCTGGTCGCCCACCCCAGCTAAGTACTGTCACCAAACATGGAGAAAAGAAAATAATTAACAATTATATCCACAGCTTTGTGACATAATTCATTTTTCATTCTTTATTCCAAATGATCGATAGTGGTTAAGCACTATAAACAACAACTTTATATATTCACTAAAATAATTTCAAGATTTAACTCTAACTCGACAACCGCAAAATTATAAAAAAACGTTGAAACAGTTCGATAAAATTCAGATTATCAGCTTTTACTAGCAACTAATGAGCTAACGATGATCGTTCCTACGCTAATGCTTCGATGTACAAACCGTCATGATAATGAGTTATTTCTAACTATTAAACAGAAATGTTTAGAATCAAAAGTCAATTAAGCAAATTAATCACCTCTTCTTCCTTCAGTGTGGATCTGAGCTTGGCATTCTCCATCTTCAAGCGACCGACTTCATTCTCCAGTTCCTGAGTGTAAGCCTAAACAAGATCAAACCCATCAAATTAATCCAATAATCCAAATGAAAAAAGCAGAAATCTTAGCTACAAACAAAGGAATGGAATTCATGTGAAGTCCTAAGAGAAACAGAGGAAGTTTCCTGTTTTCTAGCTCTGGACCGATCAGCAGATTCCCTGTTCTTCATCCTCCGCTTCTGCCACTGCTCCCCGCCTTTTCCTCCGCCGCCGTCGGCTCTCGATCTCTTCCCGTGGGAAGGGAAAACAAGAGGAGGGTGGAAACTAGTGCCGAAGCAGGGAAGAACAGGGGAAGGCAGAGGATTTGGACAAATGGGCTCTGGCTGCGGCTGGTACCGGTCGCCGGCGGCCGGAAGGATTCCGAAGTGGATGGCGCCGGAATCGGCTGTACTTGGCGGCCGGAGGGAACCCAGATTGATACCCTGCCAGAGGTCTTCCATGGATTTCCCGGCGGTGAGAGGTCTCGCCGGCGGAGAAGGGGAGGAGAAAGCAGAGGAAGAAGAGGTTGCCGGCAGCATTTTTTTTCTCTCTCTCTCTCTCTCTCTCTCTCTCTCTCTCTTTCTTTTCTGAGTAGGAAATGGAAGAGTGAAGTGGAAGACAACTGAGTGATGTGGCTCCCTGGTTTGAACTTGTGATCGGTGTTTATGGGGGAAAGAAAAGAGGGGAGTAAATTGTAATAAATAATTAAAAGGGTGTGTAAACAGTAATTTGGTTAGCTCATCTGCCGTAGAATTTGGTGTGAAATTTTAATTGTGGGGTGCAACTTGCAAGTTTATTGGTCGGAATTGCTTTTTCCCCCTTCTTTTTTGGTTCGTTTGGAAAAATGAGACAATAATAGTGGTCAGGATGACGTGGTGCGATATATCAATATCAAGGTACTATGGAATTGGCCCCATTAGCAATTAGTATAAGAAAGATTGCAGAGTGACAATGAGTGATCACTGCCCTTGATTTATATATCTTACTTTTATGGGGGTTTTTTTTTTTTTTTTATAAATGAGTTATGATTTGTCTGCTCGATATTAACTTAGGTGTTTATCATATGTTTACTGTTATAAACGCGCTGCTACGGATCGGAAAATCGCAGGAATCGACAAAGCAAGAATACGAAAGCGAGAATCGAAAAACACGATACACGATTTATGTGGTTCACTAACACGATGTGTGTTAGCTACGTCCACGGGCGAGAGAGAGCCAGTTTCACTATATTGAGGAGATTACAGATTACAGAGGAGTATGAGAAGTATTTATAGTACTTCTCCATGTGGGTCTAAACCTAATCCAATCTGGCAAAGGAAACGGTTACAGACCAGGCCCAGAACCCGAACCCAAATAACATTGAGCCCATACACCGTGGGCCGGGGGCGTTGCCCCCGCACCCCCACGGGGCGTTGCCCCTGGACCCCACTCGCTGACCGGTCAGCGAGACCCCCGATTACCAGTCGTAGCGGCTGATAATCCGATTCAAGTCATATCAACATTTACTAACATAACCTTCAAAAGAAATCCACTTATATAGGTTTGAAATTTGCACAGGAACCAGACACCATGTGTTTACCAATGGCGGTTATCGGAATTCGAACACAAAACCTTTCAGTTACAGAAGACTCAAATAACATGTCAAGAACTCGTTGATCCCAATAACTCGAGTTGTTGAAAAAGGTTAAATCGTAGATCATATACCGTTTACTAACAATGAGAACTACGTCAATCCAATGACTGCAAAGTGACAACACTTTATCTAACAAGTAACCATTTCATGGAGTGAAAAATATAAAAGCACCTATTTTAGAAGAATTTAAAGTTGAGCATGTGAAGATATGTTATTAATATATTTATATTTTATAAAAAAAGCATGTGAAGATATGTTATTAATATATTTATATTTTATAAAAAAAGCATGTGAAGATATGTTATTAATATATTTATATTTTATAAAAAAATATACTATACACTTTGTATTTTGGACATATGTCCTATATTGAATATTAGGATATTTATAAATATCATGGTCGCTAGGTGAAAATAGTTAGTCAAAGTTTGTAAGTATGAATATATAATTATTACAATTTGTTATGCATTCATCTATAAATTTTACATGGGCTTTATATTTTAATTCACCTCTTTTATGATTTCACTGTGAAATTCTTTCGTGCATTTTGAGATATCGTTGGTGAGTCAGTGGTGGAAACTGTCTACTTCATTTTCGGACAGGGCGAATGTTACGAAGTTTTAACAACACTTGGCTAACGTTTATTCCCAAAGTGGATAATATGCGCCAGTTAAGACCTATAAATTCATGCCAATTCGTGTACAAAATCATTGCCAAAATATGTCTGAACGATTGGCTCGGTTCTTCCCCCGAGATAATCTTGCCGGGGCAGAACGCCTTTATTCGTGAAAGACGGATAGTGGATAATGTGCTCATTGGACACGAATTGATGCATTACCTTAAGATTAAGACTAGGGGTAAGAAGGGAAACATGGCTCTGAAGGTTGGTATGAAAAAGGCTTATGATAGAGCCGAATGACCGTTCTTACTTGCGGTTTTAGGAATTTGGGGTTTGATCCGACTTGGGTACAATTGATTGAGGGGTGCTTGCGTTCCTCTTCATTTTCTATTCTTATGAATGGTACACCAGCTGGTTATTTTACTCGACTCAAGGACTTTGGCAGGGCGATCCTTTGTCTCCCCTCCTCTTTGTCATATGCACAGAGGGGTTTGCGGCGCTCCTACGTAAGGACTTTCATATATGTTATTTGTCGATGATTCATATTTATTCCTCAAAGGATCGATGCAAGAATGTGAAAATCTGTTGGAGGTCTTGAATGAATATGGGGATCTTAGTGGGGAAAGGGTCAACCTGGCTAAATCCGCGATATGCTTTAGCAAGAATATTCTGCATCTGGATCAAGAAACCCTTGCTCTCCGGCTTGGCGTAGGAGTGGTAGGAGGCATGATAAATATTTGGGCTTACCTACCTTGATTGTTGAGTCCAAGATGGCTACTTTCCGTTATATACGGAGGAGCTAGACATTACAGCCCAAAGGTGTTGAATTAAAAAAGCTGTGTTCCAACTTCTAAACTCATTGAAACCCAAGCCACCCTCATCCTTAGGCAAAAGCAACCAATTTCCAGGCCAGTTTGGCTCGTTTACCCTCCCTCCTCCTCTACACTCCATAAGTAATTAGAACATAACAACTCAATTCTCTTAATGACTTTAACTGGCAGTTGGATGATATTCATCCCGTACTGAGTAATACTAGAGATCACAAAAGAGATTAATTGTATTCTCCCTGTGTATGAAAGTGACTTAGCCCTCCAGCCCCTTATTCGAGCAGTTATTTTCTTAATCAAAGCTTCACAGCCTGCAGATGACAACTTCCCAACAACAAGAGGGACTCCCAAGTATCGTACTGGAAGCATACCTACTGTGAACCCCGTAGTTGAAGCTATAGTAGTTTGAATAGAAGAATCAACCCTGCAAAGAATATCTCACTCTTGCTTGGATTGCACTTAAGTCCAGAGACCAAGTAAAAGGAATCAAGTATCTTCTTTGTGACCTCTACATGACACTCTTGATGTGTCAATATTAGGGTCCAAATCCTGTGACTAGGGGGGGTGCTTAGTCACTTGACTAAGCTCCTCCCAGCCCTTAGAACTGGACACACCAATTTGACGGTTAAAAAATGGGAATGACTATTAAATTAATGACAGGGGTGCTTTGGGTATTATGGAAAATTACGAAGTATACAAACTAGACTTACAAACAGTACAAACCATACAAATATACGAACAATACAAACTAGGGCGATAAAACATACAAACAGATTTACAAATAATACGAAACATACGAACTATACAAACAATACAAACTAGACCGACAAACATTACAAAACGTACAAAATGGAAAAACATAAAAACAATACAAACTATAATAATAAACGATACAAACCGTATTGATACAAAATTACAAACCAGACTTAAAAACATTACAAAATGGTCTGACAAACATAACAAAACGACAACTGTCGCCATGAAATCCAATCCAATGTCGCCGAAAAATTCCCTGTCGGAAAATTCTCTCTCTCTCACTCTCGCGCGCAGAATTGCCATGTCCAAAAAATTTCCCATGACCAAAAAGTTCCATGTCGCCGCCGGGAGAATTCCCAGGAAAGGACCGGCGGGCGGCCGGGGCCAACGTTTCTTTTTATTAATTTGTAAATAAATAAATAAACTTTGTAATTACTACATTATCCTTCATTAAATTAGATTAATTGGAGCCCTTTAATTTTAATGAGGTGGAAGGGTTGAGATTCACTTAGCCATGTGACTAAGGCCATTGAGAAGCTGGCGTGCATTGGGGGTTGTGTACTTGTGTTTTACTTTCATGTAATAATCTGGTTTTGATTAACATGGAACTTTTTTTTATTTCTGAGTGATATCAATGAAAGAAAATAGTTAAACTTACAATTCTACCCAGGACCCCTAACAGAATCTAAAGAAGCCACCCCAAAAAATCAAAAGATTATAGCTCTACACGAGACAAAAGCAGTGCTTTACGCGCCACTCTATGGGCAGCACTGTTGGCGGATCTAGGTACCGCCCTAAACTCTATACAAACAGTCAAAGAGTTAAGGATCTAAAGACACTCTCGTAGCACCGGACCTCCAATCGAGTCTTCAATGAAGCCTTGACGGATATGGTTGACCACCACTTCGGAATCACCTTCGACTATCACGTGGGTTAAGGATCTTGAGGCTACGATGGAGATAGCGTCTCTAAAAGCTAGAAGCTCTGCCAGATAAGGATTGAATATTCCTTGATGCTGCAGTCTGAAAGCCAGCACCACATGCCCGTCTGACCCACGAATAACAAGCCCTGACGAACAACCGGTGGCACAAACAGCTGCGTCGACGTTGATCTTCAAAAAGTCTTCTGGTGAAGGGACCCAAGTGGCGGCAGGATGATTTGGGATAAGAGAGCTGCGGGGCGGAGGAGGAAGGAGAAGATTGGAAAATTCGAGGACCTGGTTGTAGAATTGTTTGGCTAGGGAACGGACATGAGGTTGGATAAAATCGAAGGTCACTTTATTTCTAGACTTCCAGATTCTCCAAAGTAAACAGACGCATTGGAGAATGTGGAATGGGGAGGTCTCGGAGACCATGACATGTCGCCATCATAGACTAAAATTAACAGTCTGGGCGATGACAATTCTTGGATTAACATGGAACTTTGCTCCCCTAACTTATTAACTCTTTACCCTAATTAGTTTTTTTAGTTTAGTCCATATATGGCTGCCGTATTAATTAAATATTATAAGCCTGGGAGATGACAATTCTTGGATTAAGCCAATACCATGTGGCTTTCTTGCCCATTCCAAGGTCCCAAGTGAATAAACAAACAAGAGTTCCATGGCATTTCAAAACTACAGCAACAACGGTTTGACGACACGAACAAAAAAGAACTTGGTAATACAAAGGAAAATTAGTACTACTTATAGTATAGTGCTAGCACGCCAGTATTGTAATCGCAAGATGCTGTTGGGTTTGAGTGTAGCGAGTTCCTTGAACAGAAATGATAATTACAATTGGAATAGCTAGTGTGGCAATCGTTGACATAATTTATAGTATCTGACCTATATAAGTATATTCTAGGCGAATTACTCACTTTACGGAATGTCTATAACCACATTAATATGTCCGTGAGAAGTTGAAAACTCTAGCCCGACTTCATGATTTTTCTTTTGCTATAGTTAGCATATTAAACTAAATAACTCTGAATGATAGATATAGTTAATTACTCTATAAAATAAAAGAAGCAAATAAGTAAAATACTCTACGAAATTGATTTTCAAAGACATGGCTCCTATCATATCGGATTTTCGAGAAATTTAAGCGATTAACTCGAACTAAAATTTTCAAAGAACTGGTTATTTATAATTTGTACAAAACTATCTTTGTTAAATGATAGTTCTAAAAATTAATGCTAAGTTAAGAATTCTACATCGCTTCTTCACATTCAATTTTGCAATTCATTACGCAACATTCGAACTTTCTGTGTATTTTTAATTTAAAATGATACAACAAAATTTTGTTTAATTTAATTGGTAATGATTCTTGTTTTTGTCTAAAGATAACATAGTCCATATCCTTTGGTTCTGAAAATTTAGAAGGTTAAAAAATTGCTCTTAACTCTGTTATATTATATATTTGTTGATGATTGTGGGCTCACATATCACATATGACAGGTTAGACTCGGGCTTCATAATTTAGTGGTGAACTTCATGTATCATTAATCGTTGATCCCCTACGCAACATGGTTCATGAAACCGTACCGAATATCGTACCGGAAAAGTCAGCGGTATAATATTTTGTGATAAAACCGTGGTTTACTTCATGGATCATTAATCGTTGATCCCCTACGCACAAGAAAGATGGATTGGGCGTTTTCTACTATCAAAGATGGGTCGGGCTTGATGGTGCAGAACTCTTGACAATCTATACCCAGTTGATGGTGCTGAAACCCAAAATAGAATGGCTTTCTTCCGTCAACTGATCAAAGATGGTCGGGCTCGGGCTAGGGCTAGAAGGTGTTGAACCGAGTAATATCATTTATTTATTTTTTTCAAGTCAGGGCACATTAATCACGCTAAAATCCACGTTTAACAAATGCTCAAGAGATTTGGATAGCTAAACTACAAATTATTTTATAAAACAAATTTGAAAATATCATTTATGCTTTTTTTCAAGTTAGGGCACATTAATCACGCAAAAATCCACTATTAACAAATGCTCAAGAGATTTGGATAGCTAAACTAAAAATTATTTTATAAAACGAATTTGGAAATCTGAAAATTTGAGATTGAAAGCTCCATTATACATTGATTGAGTCAATTAATTCAAACCTATATAAATTAGAAGTTGGTTAAGTTATATTCTTCCGGGTTCATGTCTTCACCAATTAAATTTATCTGATTGCAAACAAACCTATAGTTGATCCGTAAGTTAATTTATTTTTCATTAAATACCGTCTCATATATTAATTTGCTCTACGACCACATGTGTACTACCACACCAAATATCACATGATTAATGACCGTAAAGAAAACACATGGATTTGGCCGTAAAATGAAAAAAGAAAGCATATGAAGTAGAGGGGAATCTAAAAAAGTCATTGGATGTAGTTTCCTCATGATTTCTCATGCAAGTATCTGAAATTACTATGGAATATCCGTTGCAATTACTATCAAAATCGTAGACTAATCTCTTTGAGAATCTTCTGTCTTTTCCACCAACTGATTTATAATACAATATTAGTATTTTAAAAACTATATTTTTTGCTAGAATCCTCGTGATCTTTAATATTAATTGTTAATCAAGCATTGATTATTGGTGCCATTTTCATATTCGTGAATTAATTATTTTTTATTAGGGAACGTATAAAATATCTATACTTAAGGATCTTCAAATGATATAATCGTCGTTATGCCTTGAACAAAACTAAATAAATTGGTTGTGCTTCTTTTGGAAAGGCATATAATTCACAGTTTTCACACTTCTCAAGATGGGGAACGTCCCACGACCTTTCCAATACAATTTTACTAACCCATCTCCAGTCGTCGCCCACTTCATTAGTCATTACCCTCAAGATTCCAATACAATTTTGCGCTAACAGCATATCAGTCATTCTATGTTACCATATTTGCCATTGAAATTTGAATCAAATAAATATAGTAGTCACTTTGTTATTAGATTCGGTCGCTTAGGCGAAAAATATTAGCTAAATCACAAATTAATAATAAAAAAATTCCAAATTATTAGTAAAAAGGTTAGATAGATTCTAATTAGTATATAAAGAGACTCATTTTACTTCATCCCACCTACATTACGTCAAACCACCATCGTTACTTCCTTCTTGTACACAATGGTTGATTAGAGAGTTTATGGACACGTTTGGAATAGTAACAGACAAATGAATTGATCTTTTTTGTTAAGTCATTTCAAACTTCATTACAAAGTTGGTCGAAAATCAAAGTATAGTGACCAATTTGTTAACGACCAGCAAATTTAGGTACCGTTGACCAGGGAAATTTCCCAGCCAACAATATAAAAACGCAACTCCTATCGCTCCCAAACCTTCAACTCCATCCCCTCATCGGATGTAGTTTCCTCATGATTTCTTATGCAAGTATCTGAAACTACTATGAAATGACCCTTGCAATTACTATGAAATGTCTCTTTCATGATCTTTTGCATTTTCAACAAACTTCTTTTTTGGGTAGTTTTTCAACAAACTGATTTATCATACGGTACTAGTTTCTTTGATTGGAATAATTTTTATTTGAATTTTTGTGATTTCTAATATTAATGATTGATGAAAGCACATATGATGGACGTTGGTTCATCAACAATTGTTTACCATGCAAATTTCAAATTTGTGAATTAATAATTTTTAATGGGAGCAGATAGGGTATAAAATCTTGACCTGTAAAATCCGGTTGCATTATCGTATTGCGACAAGATGATACGATGATATGACGTTGTATTATCGTATCATCATGTCGTAACATGATGATACTATCGGGATTTTGCATGGTTTTGTAGGCAGGAGTTTTGTACTGGAACCCAAGTTTTTTCATTAGGAAGAGTATAAAATACGGAGCAGGCTAAGCCGCTAGGGTACAAAATCATGGAGTTTTGTAGTCCCACAAAATCTAATCTAGTGATTGTAATTTGAAAATGAAAGATTTAATGGTCCATAATATAGAGGGGGTGAGAAGGGAAATAAGAGATTTAGCGGAAGCTGACTGAATTTTTCTGGCCAGCTGACCGGATTTTTTGTGGGCTAATGCGGGTTTCCAGGCGCTTGTCCAAAGATTTTTTTTAAATATCCTACAAAAATTCAATGGGCCATAGCTCATTTATTTCAAATCGGATTTTAAATTTTTTTGCATAAAAATATCATATTTTTTGTGCTCTACAAGATCATATCAATTTTGATATTTTACACAATTGTTGGTTAGAGAGTTGACAGGGGCGGACCTAGGCACAAGGGAGGTGTGTCATCTGACACACCTCCGCCCTAAAATTTTGTGAAATACCCCTAATTCGTCGGTACTAAAATTTTGATCTCGGGATTTACGACACACCTCTGATCATTGTATCCGACACAACTCCATTGTGTTTATGGAAATTTATTGTCATAAGTTATCAAAATATATAAATATAAGTTCAGGCTAGCGTACGTCCGACCACCGTACGCCAATTGGGTTTTGCTATTTAGATAAATAATTAATCGGACTTTGAGGCATGATCCTATATCCTAACCTCTAATGGGTGAACCCCAATCCCTAATTTTCTAACCCAAACTGCAAAATTTGGTCAATCTTAAAATGAAACTCAACAATCATTTCGACGAATCAGAATCATTGATTTTAATTTTTCAAGATTAAATGAATCTTATGTTAGGTTAGTGAATTGGGGATTGCGGTTCACACATTGGGGGTTAGAGTATAATATTATTGTTTATAAATGATTGTTAAGTTGTGTATATTGAAAAACATTTGCTTTGCAGCATAAGTGATGAATGTATTTTAGAGACATTTAAGCATATGAAAAGTCGTCGTGATTCGTTGTAAAATGACATTGTGAACTTCATAAATTAATTTCTTTTAATTTCTACTTAATTTTTTTATTTAATTATTATTCTATATTAGCGGCTACACACCTCTCCAACAATCCTAGGTCCGCCACTAAGAGTTGACAGGGGCGGAGGGAGAGAGTTAGAGGGTGGGTCCCGGAACCCACCCTGGCTCGGGTTAGAAAATGGTCAATTAGGTACAATAGTTAATCAGGTATGAAAAATAATATGTATTTAAATGAAATTGGTATACCTTTGAAATATTTGAAGTATGATTTATAACGAGAGTTGACATATTCAATGTATTTATAATGAGCTATGTACAAATGATAATGATGTATATGATTCGACCAAAATTGAAGATGTATTTATTCAATATTTACAACAAATTTCCACCAAATCATAATTCATTAGTAAAAATAATTTTATTTCAATCAGAGGTAGGGAGATTGTAACAGGTGTTTCCTAAGGACGAAAATGAGTAAATTAGTATAATAGTTCATTAAGAATGAAATTTAGGGACTTCTAATTGAGAATGGTTGACCAAATATCATTTGTTCGAATCTTTGTAACCTCATTTGTTAAATACATGATATTCGGATTTACGTAAACTTTAAGCATGCATAAATTGGTTGTAGTAAGCAGGAAAGTGTTAGTAAATACTAAATAGTATTAGATTCATTATTAAATCTTTCCTAACAACTCGAGTTAATGATACTAAACGGTCTTGACGAAGAACACGATTCAAAAGCAAATGTCTAACTAAATCATAAATAATTGTTTGATATATATATATATGGTGATATTCTTGATAGTTTTGACATATAATTTAATTTACCAAGTTTTTGCAAATGCAAAATTATATCATGAACGATTTAGAAAGCTAACAAAATTATTTTATCGTATGTATTTTTTCTAAATGGACCCACCCTCGACAAAATCCTGGCTACGCCCCTCTGAGAGTTGATCAACACTTTTGGAATACTAAAAACCTCATTCCGATGAACTGACTATGATAGTAACCGACAAATGAATTGATCTTTTTTGTAAGTCATTTGATCATTTCAAACCTCTCATTACAAAGTTATTCGAAAATCAAAGTATAGTGACCCATTTGTTAATGACCAGAAAATTTAGGTACCGTTGACTCAGGGAAGTTTCCAATGCCAACAATATAAAAACGCGACTCCTACAGCTCCCAAGTCCCAACCCTTCAACTCCATCCCCAGTTAGCACCAATATCAGATTCCAATTTTCCCTCTCCCTCGATATACTCTCAATCTGAATATCAATGGCTCAGACGACGCCGAATCACACCCAGACGGTCGCCGGCTGGGCAGCTCACGAAACCTCCGGCGAGATAACTCCTTACACTTTCAAACGCCGGTCAGTTCCCCCCTTATTTCTGCTCTCCCTTTTATTTTAATCAATCAATAGCTTGATTAACCACTTTGGATTAGCTTTTCATACGAAGGTTTAAGCTAAACTGATTGACGATTACAGGGAGAACGGCGATACAGATGTAACGATAGAGATACTGTATTGCGGAATCTGTCATACTGATCTTCACCAGGCGAAGAATGATTGGGGGATCACAACGTACCCTATTGTTCCCGGGTATGTATATCATGAACTATATACTAGTGAATCTTGAGTTAGATTATTACAATTATGGTTATTTACGAGAATCATGTAAAGTTAACTTGCGGGTCAAGTTTGATTTCCTATCATATTTGGACGAGTTTAAAATTTAAATGGGTCGGACTATAGTTGTAGTTCAATTTCCTTGATTCAGAGTCTTTTATTGATTTATTGAGCACATGTATGGACTCAAAAAATTTCTGGTGATAATTTATCAAGGCATGAGATTACGGGAATAATTACCAAGGTGGGTAAAAAAGTGGAGAATTTCAAGGTTGGAGATCGAGCTGGAATCGGGTGTCTGGCTGCTTCGTGCTTGGACTGTGAGTTTTGCAAGAGCTCTCAAGAAAATTATTGTGACCAGCTTCAGTTCACTTACAATGGTGTTTTCTGGGACGGGAGCATTACTTATGGCGGTTATTCCAAAATGATTGTCGCTGACTACAGGTAAAACTGTTATTTTATTTTAAATACAATATATTAGCCATAACTATTAAGCAGCGGGGAATTATAGCTACAACTATCGAAATACAAATTATCAGCCAACGGTTAAGTGTTCGTTAACACTTCTGTCAGTAATGATAACTAAGCTTTTACGATGTTGAGTTGGCTCCCACATGGGAGTCATCATATCATATATTTTACGAAGCTGGCACGGCCTTCTTCGTTAAAAATTTGAAAACAGTAACGGGTTGTTAGCCAAATCTTGACTCGCAACAATAATTATGGCTAATAATTTGTATTTCGATAATTGTGACTATAATTTTCCACTGCATAATAGTTATGGCTAATCCCTTAGTTGCCCTTGTACTTACTTCCAGCCAGTGTACTGACCAAATATCGAAAAACTAATAGTTGTTAGCTAAATTAGAATAGAAAAATGGAGTTCACGACCTAGGATTAAGAATATATATATATATATATATATATCTCGATAACACATAATTCATAAAGTAAACATGAAGTCCAACTTGCTAGTTGTTAAATAGAATCTTTAGGGCCTTGTTCTTTTTTTTTTTTTTAAGCAAGTACAAGCCACATGGGTTAATATACTAATACAAAGGAGATATTGCCAAATCTTCCAACTAAGCATCCACGAGACCACAACAACCTAAATACTCTTTTCCCATGTGAGACTTATAGTTCCTTAACTTTGAATTTCTTCAAACAAAATGGTCTAATCTCATCTACCTGGCCGTCACTAAATTTGATATTATAATTTGTAATATGACTGAATCGTACCATTGTCGGAAAAAATTGTGATGATTTGAACAACATATAATTCTATTTTTTTCTCGAACTATTATTGATACATTGTTGTTATCGTTTCGACAAAAACAAAAAAAAGGTATGTGGTGCATGTGCCTGAGAGCCTTCCAATGGATGCGGCAGCACCATTGTTGTGTGCGGGAATCACTGTGTTTACGCCTTTAAAAGACCATAATTTGATCGAATCTCCAAGAAAGAAGATAGGTGTTGTTGGACTTGGTGGTCTTGGTCACGTGGCTGTCAAGTTTGGCAAGGCATTCGGCCACCATGTTACTGTCATTAGCACCTCTCCTTCTAAAGAGAAGGAGGCCAGAGAGCGATTGGGTGCTGATGGCTTCATCGTCAGCTCCAATCCCAAACAAATGGAGGTAATGCATTTATTTGAACACTTTACTATCCGAATTTTATCTTCTTATCCTTGATATCTAATAACTCCAAACTACTAATCTAATTCGAATCGATATATTTGCTTTTTAATAATAATATTATTAGATATAAAATGAAGCTTTATTTATTTATGATAATCGGTGATAGGCGGGAAAGCGTACCCTTGATTTTATACTCGATACGGTGTCGGCTGACCACGGGCTTGGGCCGATCTTGGAATTACTCAAAGTCAATGGGACAATGGTGATCGTTGGAGCCCCGGGCAAGCCCCTTGAACTACCGGCTTTTCCTCTGATATTCGGTAGCATACTACACCCAAAAACTTTACCTTATTAGTTTGTCTATGACCCATAAATTAATCACTGAACTTGGAGCTAACAAAATTTGTGCAATGTAAACACTAACGCAGGGAAAAGAACCATTAAAGGTGGGATAATAGGAGGAATGAAGGAAACACAAGAAATGATGGACTTGTGTGGAAAATACAATATAAGTTGTGACATTGAAGTTGTGAAACCAGACAACATCAACGAAGCTTTCAACCGTCTGGCGAAAAATGATGTGAAATACCGATTTGTTATTGATATTGCTGGCAACTCGTCCAATTTGTAATCGGAGACTTTTTTTTTTTTGTTACTATGTTTGTTTTTATTTTGGATATTAATTGCATCGTGGCAAATCGTCCAATTTGTAATTGGATACTTTTCTTTTGTTATCATATTTTATTTTTCTTGTTGCATATTGATTGCATCATGATCTCTTATCTTGATGTTGGAAAACCTTGCGATAAAATTATATTTGAAAATAAATCACCGCATAAAAGTGTACCAACTAGCAACCCACCTTAAACCAACTGGTGTGGCCATATTTGTATTGAGTGGGTGGGATATTGGCATTTTCTACGTGGTGTTAGCACAATAGCACTAGCTAATAAATTCTTAGGTGCAGTAGTATGAAAATCTCTGTTATGTATAATATGTACGATGGAGGAGGGTTCAACCAGGTACTCCCAATCAGGCAAGGATTGAGAATAAACAGGTGCGGGTACATCAGAATGTGTGATTTCTATATTAGATGAAAGGGAAGTTGTTTAATGAAAGAAAACATCCTTAGAAATGAAGAATGAGTGAGAAGTGAGGTTGTATTAGTGAGGTTTGTTATTATATATATTTTACCCTTTATTTCTTGATCGTTTGACTTGGTAATTATCGCCCCTGTCCTATTTTACGTTAGGTTGTGCTTCTTTTGGTTATATTTTAGGCCCTAGTATATGTTGGGAAGGTCGAGGACGAGTTGTGGGGCGATTGGAAGCCGAAAAGCACAAAAAAGTGAAGAAAAGGCCAATTTCACGGTTTGGGCGTAATTGTCACGACCTCTGGACCATGACAATTGAGCCCAGGGTGTGAAAATTGCCAAAACCAGAAGAGTTTGCACGTCTCGCTGACATATCAATTGTTACGGTCACCAGACCTTGACAATTTCCAGTTGACTGTGACATTGGACTAAAACGACAACAAACACCATGAGCTTTTGGATGAGATCACGACTGGGAGTCCGATGTCACGGCCGTGAGATCCAGGCCTTAAAATTGGCTATCAGGCTGTATAAAAAGGCAACTTGTGGGAGTGAGAAAATGAAGCTGGTTTTTGGGAGGAGAACTTGGTTCTCTCTCTAGGGTTTCGACCCCAAATACCTAAGAGGAGTTCTAGAGTGATATTGGAGCTTAATTGAAGACTTGGGTTGATCTTCAAGTCAAGGATTCAAGCCTACAATATGCAGAATATGAAGATCTTGAGCAATTTTGTAATCTCTCTCATCTCCTCTATGAACTATACCTCTTTCTCTTAGGTTGATGAACCCGAGGTTTAGATATTGGTTTAATGTTGATGTATGTGACAAATTCTATTTTTGATTGATGAATTTATCTATTTGATGGATGTTTTCAGGAATTGCATGATTTTGTATACCACTTCAAGTCAATTGAGCTTTTGACCTACGAGGGAGATAATCCCCTTAGCGCCCATAATTGACATCATCGGGCCAATCCTATCATATATCATTCGGGTAATCAACAAGGGAGTTGATTCAATCGGTCTCCTAACGACATATGAATCCCTAGGCTGAATAGAGCACCTTCCCATCCACCACTTCGTCGTTCCGGGTCAATCCCGAGTGAATCGATCTCATAACAGTAGGGTAGTTAATCGATTGAGCTAGAATAGTATTCAACATCAATCCAAACAATAGAACTAAGGAGTTAAAAACCTAAGAGAGCCTCACCACTTGTAATTAGCTAGGGTAGTGGTTAGGTTAGTTTCTTAATCACTATTCTAGGTTGGTTAGATAACGAAACCTAACCCGAAGTAAGGTACACATAGGAGACCCGTGGTTTGATATTTTTATTACTTGTTTACCCTATGCTACACCTTATCGTCGGTTATACTTCACCGTCAATCAGCATGTGTAGTTTGAGCCATATTACCTAAAGCCTTCGGTACCAGGAGGATGTCTTGGTAAACATATGGTTCAACTATTGCATTAAGCTTTGTCCTTGTTGCTTTAATCGTAGATTCATAAGATAAACAACCAAAAACTCTAAGATGAGTTAGATTTAGTGGTTTGTTGTATAATTGTTCAAAAGGTGTGTTAGTGTGGAAAAAAGGAGTAGGAAATATGTTTATCATATGAGTTGCTTGCATTACAACAAAATGCCAAAAATTTGAAGGCAAATTGTTTGGAAGAGTACTGTTTTTGTGAGTGCAAGTAAGTATTGATGTTTTCTTTCTATAAAACTTATCACAAGTTTCATGAAGCATATAGAAAGCACATCACAAAGTTTACTACAAGTTTTCTGGAATAGACAAAAAATCTCATAAAGCTGACCACAAGTTCCCTGAAGCAGATGAGAAATTTGTGCAACCATGCACACCTAAACTCTCATGAAGCAGGCCAGAAAGATGAAAAAAACCACATTGGAAATCTCACAATGTCAACCAAAAACTTTATAAAAGAATGATAAGGAAACATGACATTAATTATGAGGAGACCTACTGTAACACCCCGATTTTCAATTTGGACTCAACCCATAATAAATGTATGAATTGAATCGACGAACTAAAACTTGAATCGAACCAATCCTTGTCCTATAATCAAGACCTGAGTAATTGAGACCATTAATTTTTATTTCAACCGGCACTTTTAGTGATTGCTTCGGTTACTCCCATCTCCACATAAGAGAAATGTAAAAAGCAACCCTAAACAGCTGCAGAACAACTCAGAAAGTCACTCTATTCCCATAGGGAAAGCCAAAAGCAAAGTTGCCACCCTTCTATTCGACTGCTCACAAAATCCCCTCCTCACCATCACTTTATCACCCTGCCACAACAAGAATAAGCAGCCGCAGTCGCAACCGGATGCGATTGCGAGAGAGCTTAGCGAAGGGGATTCACGAAAGCATTGGTTTGAGAGGAACAGATGAATCGACGAAGCCGCAGCAGCCGGGCATCGCCACCACCCCCCAACATTTTTCCACGCTCTCGCCAACAGCCGCGCGACCAAAGGCAGCAGGAAATCCAGCCCTCCGTCGACCCTCCTCTTTCCCTCGAGAACCCCCAGAGTTCCAGCCTCCATCCGTATGGTTTCCATCACTTCCAACCATTACCGCAACTTAGAGTGGATTCAGACCACCTAATCTCCTCAACCGACAAAAGCGTTGGACATAATCGGTTGCTAACGGTTTGATGGGACGAGTACTTGGATATGGGAGAAAGAGGAGATCATGGCGGCCTTATTAGCAAGGTAAGCATGTTCATGATTGGCTAGCTGTTTTGTACGTAAATGGGTTTGTCAATTTGAATAAATTTCCCACTCCAAAGGATGGTACTCACGTGGCTATTGGGAATTGATTCGAGGGAAGGGTTAATTGACGATTAAGAATGAGAGAATTATGGTACGTAAGGAACTGATTTTATTGTAATGGAAATTACATGCAACTTTTGGAATGTTGCAAAGGAGATAGAAATTTCATGGATACCTAAACGAGGAACCCTTATTAATTCAGAGTGATTGTAATGAGGTGAGTGTAAAGGGTACGCCTTACGTGTTCTTTTAAGTATTACGAGTTTTAAGTATTTTAATGAAGTGACTGTCGTTGTTTGATTATGCTTATAATTGATGATATGTGCTTTGTTTGAATTATGACTTGAAGTGAATGTTTATTATTTACTTTGAAATTTTACGAGTATAAGTTATTGTTAAAGTTTAAGAAACAAGTTCTTTTTAAGAAGTAACTCACCTTCAAGAAGGTGAAGTCGTTTTAAGTGTTTTTAGTCACTAGCGTTAGTCCGTTTCCATTTGAGATTTTCAGATAGAGCAGCAGTTATGCTCTTGAGATCTTTGAGACAGAGCAGTAGTTATGCTCTTGAGATATTTAAGTTGAGCAGCAGTTATGCTCTTGAGATTTTTAAGATGAGCAGTAGCTATGCTATTGAGAATCGTGGAAGAAGAGCCTTCCACGATAAGTTTAAGTTTAATGAAAGCCTGGAGGGCTTCTCATACGTATGAGTTGGGCAATCGGACTAGCTAGTGAGGGATCCCTGTGTCGGTCAAGTATTTAAGTTGAGATTTGGGATTTGAGAAGGGAGAGTAACAGTAACTCCCATACAGTTTGAAGAGTTAAGATTTTTATAAGAGTGGAAGTACAAACAACTCCCACCAGTTTAAGTTAAGTGTCTGAAGTAAAATACTAAAGTACTTGACTGTTAAAACGTAAGGGCGTAGAGTGACCCCAACTCACTCACCAGTTTGAAGAGGAAGAGCTAGATGAGTAGTTAGAGAGCAGCGAGATCGGGAGAAGCAGCTCCATGGAAGCCAGCTAGAGGAGGACGGTATGAGAGTAGAGGGATGCCTAGTCAAGGTTTTCAGTAAGTGGCAACGTTATAGGTTAATGAGTTGTTACATCTTACGATTATGAGTACAGACTGGAGATCCTTTTGAGATTTTAAGGATTGAGTTTGCCCAAGTGTTAGGGCTTTGTTTTAAGAAATTACAGTTTATTCTCAGTACTTGTTAAAGTTATTTATGAAAGGTTTTCGTTATTTTCTCAAGTATTTTCAGTTATTTTGGTAAAAGTAGTACCCGGACGGGTTAGGGTGTTACACGTCCTCCTCACAAGGTGATATAACACAATTTACGTAGAAACATGACATTAATTATGATGAAACATACTCCTTTGTGGTGGATGCAACTATGTTGTGAAATTTTAAAAAGTTTGGCAGTTCAAAAAGGGATAATTTTTTTGGATAAGGGTGATACATGGTTTTAGTTTTTTGGTGATTAAGATACTATTTAAGAGATTAGATTTTGAGACCTTTAGTTTCTATGCTAATGGTATTACCATTAGGTCAAACCCTTAGTAAGAAAAGGGAGAAATTTGTATATATATGGGGAGTTCTACGATACCTAGGGTGAAATCCGGGGTACCGCATACCTTGAGTAAGAAAACGCTATCCATAACTTGAATTGGCTGATCTTTCAGACATGATGATATACTCTAACCCTTAAAGATCAAAATCTAGGTCTTAATTCTCTAAATCTTATTACCCAAGATCAATTTAATTAGAAACAATAATCGACGGTTATGATTCGTCCAAATATAGGCAAAAAAATTAATGCACCATATGAGGAATTATAGTTTATGATTTAGATAATTAGGACCTAGGGTTCACTCATTAAGGGTTAAAGGCACTATATATATACAACATAGAGATAGTGATAGCTGGTAGCTACTTCGGTGCACTAACTTTTTTGAATGCACCCAACTCTAAAAGTGGTCATAATACATCAAAGTTTGAAATTTAATGGGTAACATTAGTCTAATATGATGATATAACACAAAATCACAACTAATCAATGCATTACCCTAACCTATTAACCTTCAATTTTGAATCCCAACCCAAAATCCCAAATTGTAAACCCTAATGCTAACCCTAAATTCCTAAACCCTAAACCATTCAAATTAAAGTCAATCTTGAATGATTTTCTTACAAGTTCATGTGGTTCTTGTTCATCATACCACAAGTGATGATTGACATCGTTTTCACATGAATCGCCTGCTTAAAATGACGATTATGAAGTGGGTGCATTGAATGCACCACAAAAAAAATGAGTGCGCCGAAGACATAACCATGATAGCTTATTTATATGATCCCTTCATATTATTATCATTATCATTATTATTATTGATTAATTCGCCGGAAGCCCGGAAGTGTGACAAAAACTCAAGCGGTCAAGCCTCTCTTTGCACGGCTCCTCATTCTTGCTCTAATTTCTGAATGTGAACTGGTCAGTATTCACGATCCATTACTGAAACAACTGCATAGCAATCCACTGCACGCGGTTTCTGTTATGCATTTTGCCTTTGCTTTATTGCTTCCATCTCTGCAATATCTCATCAGTCATCAGCTACAACTGTAAAGTCGAAATCTAACGATAATTGGGAGGCAAGTAAAGACAAGACCTAGTTAAACCCATCAAAAGTCAGGAACTCGCCAGCCGCAAACCAAATCCCCTTCCAGAAAACCAGGTACTAGGAAAGAAAACATACACATAACTACTAATATTGCGTATGAGCAACCTCTGCAAAATCTTGCCACATCATCACACCCATCTCCAAACTTCTCCTGGCCATTAGAATTTGTTTTGTACTTGTGAAAATGCATGTAGTTGGGAATACCTAAACCTTGCAAATGAAGTAATCCTATGAATACGCTATACAAAGGTTGTGTTGGAGAACTTACCAAGTCATGTTTAAACGGGAGAGAAAAAAGCTTATTAGAGGAGACATAATACATAATTGGTAAGTGATTTCATATTGACAAAATACAACAGCGATTTATGAGGCATTGGAAACAATTTCATGTTTTATAATTTATTCAACAAAAAAGAAACAATTGCACAATATGTATTTTGGGTGAAATGAAAGAGTTTTTGTTATAACTTTGAAGTTAAATGTACTCATAGTAGAACAGTGCAAAGACGAGCGATCTCTTCAAAAATCATCATAATGGAATGACAAAATACATCTGTATAGGCACAGCTTATTTTTTTGCAAATAATAGTAACTTTTGGAGAAATTCACAAAATAGCAAATTATATCAAATTCTTTAATGGTGTCCTCCAGTGTTGTCATGTCAGCTTCCTGCCGGCCGGTTCAACCAGGTACAACCAGTACCAATCACCAAATCGGCCGGCAAGGGGCCAATATGTAGCATATGTAAAATCTGGTCAGATCTAGGAATTCCGGCTGGTTAGACCAGAAACAGTAATTCAGTGAAATGAAATTACACATTATATCCAAAAATAAACACCTTTTATATGGTTAGATTTTTCATACAACCATTCCAAATTCAAGTTATGTTGTATATTTCTTCAATAATGGCTATTATTATCACAAAGTCGAAAGTTATTGCCATGTTGGTGTATTTTGCATATTGCAATCCCAAAAGAAAAAGCTATGCGAAACTCTATGTAAAACGGATTGGCCAGTAGAAGAAGATGTTACAATAAGATAATAACCTTTTTGTCTATTTATTTGGTAAGATAATAATTTTTTTATTAGTACCCATACAACACATGAACTATGAACAAAATGTCACTACTCACTAGTGTGCTATTCTTTTCAATATTTCATTTCTGTCCTGAATTATATATTTCCTGTTAATGTTGACCGACATTGACGGTTAATATTTAACTAAAAGTTTAGTAAGTGTTGATGCGACATCTGATATGATATTTAGATTTAATTTTTATTTAACAAAATAATAATTAAGAAACAAATAATCTATCTAAAATCTTCTCATTCCTTCTCCCCCGTTCTTCGCCGGCATCTACGTGTGCCACATCACCATTGGTTAATGTCGCCAACGACGGATTAGGAATTTTACATAGGGGTGTCATCTTTCAAAAAATAAAGTATAATTAATAATTAATAATTAATAAAAATTATATTATTCTTAAATTAGAAAATTACCCAACTCCTACAAGGTAAAAAAAATCAATGATGTATTTTCATATTAAAAAAAAGTTATAAAATAAACTTGGTGTCTACACTGCTCAACAAATTTGTCTCGGTATATCCTACTAAACAATCATTCACGAAGTCATGCACATTTTACTTCCAAATTTGTTCATGATGTAACTCAAAGCTAAAAAAACACTTTCAACACTTGTCGTACAACCATAAAATCAATACAAATTAATGATAGCTTGTAATTAGATGAATTGTTAGGTTTTGAAAATAATTAAAGATAGAGAACAGGGTTTTGCTATTACACAGTGTTTAGAATATAACAACAAAAAATTTGTAGCCTAATGAAAATTATATTTATTAGTAATAGTAGTGTCCGGGACTTGAATTGCCCAAACTACCACTTATATTCCCATACGCAAATTACAAACGAGAGTAGTATAATCGTTCTTTCAAATTTCAAGGTGTCCCGAACTATTTTTGGTTGTTGTTTATACGTAAATTACCACCGTGGGTTGGATAATCGATCTTCCAAAATTTAGGGGTGTACTGGAACACCCCTAAATGTCCCTGGGTCCACCCCTGAATGTCACTAAGAGAACATGTCTGGTCATTCGTAATCTATAACGATCAACAAAAGCGTGAGTACGTAAATGACACAAAACTAACATATGATATGACATAAATGAAATATTGAAAAGAATAGAACGCAAGTGACATTTTATAATAGTTCGAATGTTGTAGTAGTATTAGCCCTTCAAATTTCTAAGGTAGATAATTTTCATCGAAAACATCAATATTTGTACGAAATTCGTAGCTACATTTGAACGGTTGAACCTTGACACGAACAAAAGTGTTGCCTTATTCTTAGAGCACACTTCTCTAATCAAAAGGGTTCTAGCTTAGCTTCTATTAGATTCTTTCCAAATCCCACAAGCCTTTCTCTCCACCAGGCTATTACACGTTGGCTCTACATAATCCTACGTGTACCAAACATGCCACATCCTTAATTTTTGTTGTTGCCTTGTCCCAAAAGCCATAACCAATTTCGTTTGGAGCCTCCCTCATAACTGCCAACTGTCACCTTCAACTCTCTCTCTCTCTCTCCACCGACTTCCTTCCAAACACCGCCATTTCCCTCTCCTCTCCCCTTATATAAATCTCATCACTTCATCAATTCAGAAAGAGAAAAAAAAAAAACACTCTGAATCCAGAGAAGCACCGCGTCAAATTCTGCAGCCAACATCACTCATGTTCGCCTTTCATCAGAAAAGCAAAAATGGCGAAGCTTTCATGGTCCAAGTTGCGATCTTTCCTCCTTCCCCGAGGTGGGTTTTCCACACTTTCGTATGTTTTCACGATCCCCCTGTAGTTTTCCCTTTCTTAATGGGTCTTTCCTGTCTTTGTTTTGCTTCAGGGGTTTCGAAGAGTGAGGGTTCATCCAGTAGCTTGGGGAGCAAGCTAAACGTGAGCGAGGAGTACAAGGAAGCATTCCGCACGGAGTCTTATGTAGAAATGTGGACGGAACTCCAAACCAAGCTAATCGACCGCCGCCACTCGTCCTCGTCATCTTCCTCTTCCACATCATCCTCATCGTCCACCGTACCTCCGGGATACCTGCTCCGGCCCCAGCCGGAGAAGGAAACCATCACCCAGTTAGTAGAGAGGTTCGATTGCCACAGGCTTCTGATCGACTACTTCGAGTCGAGCTCAGAAGCCTGCGATCTCTGCGAGTTGCTCCTCCTGTCGGTGCAAAGAACTCGCTTGCATTATGCCAATATCACGAGGGTGATCAAGACGAGCCAGGGGGTAGAAGGTTTTACCTGCAAGGTCTCTGCAGGGATGTACAGAGACCTTGCTTCGTACGCAAGGCACGCGAACCCTTTGAGTCTCGTCAAACCGGTCCAGTTCCAGGAGGTTCATGCTGGGAACACGTTGCTCCTGCGAGAGCTAACTCGAAAGAAGAGGAGTATTCGGAGGAGGGCCAAGGCGAATCGGATCTTGGGGAAGGTTGGTGGATGTGGGCTAGTGGTCCTCCACATGACACTAGTGGTTTCCATGCTTGTGATTGCCTTACATAGCTTTGTGGGGATTGTGGCGGCACCAGCTATTGTAGGTTGTTCATCCTCTTGCTTGTTGGCCAAGAAAGGAAAGAGGAGAGCATCGTTGGTTATTCATGGGCGGCTCAATGTGAGCCTGATGGAGAGAGTGTGCAGGCAGTTGGATCTAGCAGCAAAGGGGACGTTCATCCTCATCAACGATTTCGACACAATGAGCAGGCTAGCAACGAGCCTGAACAACGAGGCGGAGCACAGGAAAGTGCTCTCCGCGATGTGTGTGAGGAACAACAAGAACAAGGAGCTGTTGAGGCTGGTGGTAATGGAGCTCTGCGACCACGATGCTTGCTACCTTGAACAGCTAGAAGAGCTCGAGGAACATGTGTATTTGTGCTTTCATACGATTAATCGGTCGAGGAGGTTAGTAATGCAAGAGATGATGATTGGGGAGAAAGAGTTGGGGTTTGAGGGCAAAGAGGAAAAGGTGAAGGATTATGATGGTGATAGTAAGATTGATTAGCTCAATAGAGTTCCAGATGGGCAATTGAAAGCCGCCATTGAATTTGTTTCTAGGTAATATGCAATCAATTCTTAACTAGTTTGAGATTCTTTCATGATTTCAATGTACAAATATAAAATGCAGCCAAGATGATGATACCCTATTGTTTATGCTGTTTAAATATAGAGATTCTCCTCAGTTTCCAAAAGGAACTGACAAGTCAATTTCAGTACTAGGTAATAATCTTAACTTAGCTGATCATACTCAGAAAGGCAGTTTTTTTAAACCAGACCAGACCATACCTCATTTCATTTCAATTTCTCAAGAAATCCGCAAAACTCAATCCCTAACATAAATTTCAATTTGCTACAGGCTAACACAACAGCGATGTGGTGAGCTTCCTTCTTGCTACTTGGAAGCCACTTGACCCCGAAAAGCAAGTGGCGAAACAGCATTTGAGTCTGCACATTTTCCAGGGTCCAAACCCTGTAGAACAAACCTGAGCTGCAATAACAGCAGCAAGCTGAACCCAAATGCGAGTGGTTTGACTTTGATATTTCATCGAATCTGGAGAGATTCCATCAATCAGTTCAGCACCCTTTTTCTCTCAGCTTTGCATACTCTTCGCGACTCAACAATGAAGCCTAGACCTTTAACCAGTCTGCTGGCATTGGCATGATGATGGCAACATATCCCTCTCTATCCGCCTGCAAAATTCAAGCACCGAAACCAACTTGAAATTGAAGCAAACAAGTTGTGGGCAGATTTGCAGACAAAGTCAGCAGATCTCAAACAATAAGGCTACATCACTTGAATGAGTTTCGGTGATGAACAGATAATCGCGATTTCTCACCGAGGTATTGAGCAAACCAGGCTGTTTGGTGAGCCTGTCATTCACTTCCAACAATGAACCTTTCACACAACACCTGATCATAATAAGCATTACCCAACATAGAACTTAAAATCTACCATAATTTTGATGAAACAAAACCAGTTCTAACATCACAATGTAGGAATCCCCTTTTGTGCTAACTTTACACATTGCTGTATTGGACTCAAAATGCTGGGCATTCTGCCAAAAAGAGAACAACTTTCAATTAACTCACTCCAGAAAGAGCTCTATACAGAATGAAGTATCATTCCTTCTACTCAAAGAGTTAAAGTTGTAACCTTTTTGCGTTTCCCAGTGACACACAGCCTGTAAAATTTCACAGAGATCAAAACCAAAAATCAAACAAACAAAAACCCATTACTGATACATTGAGAGAAATCATGGGTTACCCATTGGCATGTCGTCGTGCCCTGGCTTCACAAAATCTATGGACAAACCCCATATGAAAACTTAGATAATTACAAGAAAAAGGAGGGAAAACTTAATCAATTTGGACAAACCTGGAGCGAAATAGGAGACGAAGTTGGTTTCGACGGCGGAAGGAGGACTGGCGGCGAGGATTTCCCGGGTCGGGAACCAGCAGCTTCCGCCGCTCTTCGTCGTCTTCAACGGGAAGAAGAAATTCTGGCTTCCCCTGTTTTTCTGGGTCGTTGGATTCGTGGACTGTGTAGTCCGCCATCGAATCCAACGCGTGAAAGGAAATTGAGGAAGGCGAGTTTTTGTTTTTGCCGGAAGTCGAAGTCAATGACCATGAGTTTTGGGTTCCGATTAGGGAGTTACTTCTCCGACGTGTGACGACTGCGCATCCGGATCGTTTCTCCTTTTTCTGCAAATTTGGTGCCCCGGCCCGGCCTTTGGAAAATGGATTGGGCTGCCGGGAATGAGCTTGAGCTGGATTTAGCTAAAAGGCCCAAATTGAAATTTGTCAAACTAGATCTAGGCCCAGTCTGGATTGGACTGCCCACTAGCTCGACGAATCCGGAGAATTATTGGGTTGAACTCAACCATTGCGCATTTTAAGAAAACATCTTTTGCAACCTCCACTAATGGCTTTGCAAATTGCAAGGTATGTTCTTCGTACCGCTTTGGGAGTAGACGAGTAGTGGTGGCAGCTTCGGCCACAAGGTATTTGGGGATCACTGATGCGGCAACTTTGGAAGCTTTGGCACTCCGAGATTGTCTTTTGGCTTTTAAGGATCGACGGTGGACACATGTGGTCGTGACTGGGGATGCTCAAGTCATACTTGACAAATGTTCTAAGCGTCAGGTTTGGGATTCTACTACTGGTGCAATTCTTCGGGAGATTGCTCTGCACTTGGATGAATCGGTTGGGATGGTGCTGCGGTTTGTTGGTCGTCAAGGTAATTGAGAGGCTCATTTGGTGGCTCGAAAAGCTCTGTTTTTGTCACCTCGGTTGATTCAGAGGTTCGACTATGTTTCATGGCTCCATAGTTTATAGAGCCTTTGTATTTTGAAACATGATCTTCTTTTTCTCTTTGATCAAGAGATCTAATGATAAACAAAAAAGATATAGAATCAGTAATCTTGTGTTTTGTTATTTGGCTAGAAAATCTTGTGTTTTTTTTTGTCTTGTCAACTTGTACCTCTGAGTCGAATAAGGTCACCAAGGCCTTAAGTCGATTAATCATAATCTTAGCCAATTCGGGTTAGGGAATTCGAGCTGGTCTGAGATTGAATTCGTACATTAAGAAGCAAAATTTTGGGTCAATCAAAGTTGTAGCTCATTTTGCTTTCCTCACATGTTGCTATTAAGTTTAAATGGAATATACTTGTTGGCCGTATGATTTGAATCTAATTTGCCATTTCATTCCTATGTTAACATTAACCCAGTTCATTGATGTTACGATTTTTCACTTTTGTCATGTCTGCTGAACAATCTTTTTGCTCTTCAGATTTTTCGTAGAGTTGCCTTTTTAATAGTAAAACATGCTTTTTTATCGGTAGTCTGGTTGCATACGAACTACCACTTATGGTTCTTGTAAGTATTGTTTTTGAGTTATCCACTCATCCATACCTTTTTTACTTATCTTGGATAATAATAATAAAAAGCGAACGAACGTGATATAATTAAAATGCAATTCTATTAATTAATATTCCTAACAGATCATTAAATCTTAATCATTACATAGTCTGTTTTGAGCGCCCATATATGGCGAACCTCTTGAACAACATGCTCTTACTTCGTCTTTCCTTTAATAAGTCATCAAATTTGGCTAGTCACTCTCATCTAAATCAACCCAAATTAGTTATAGCTAGCACTCGTAACCCATGCAATCTTTTTTTTTTTTTTTAACTAATCGTGCATTAGAAGTTATAATAAACCAACAACATATACGATCATGATTCATGACATCAAACTTGCACTCACAATCCAAGTAATTATTATTAGAATAACAATAAATCACATTGACAAACAAATGGACAACTTTCTCTTGGCGCCCAATTTAGCGGCCCAACTTTTACATTTTACTCCATCGATCAACAGTTCAACACAACACCAATGTAATTACTCAAACCGGTCCACAAGATGAACCAAAATTTCCCAACCAACCTTAATTAAACTCATAAAATAACCCAAACCAATTGGAGAAGAAAAAAAATCTACCTCACAACCTTACAATCAAGCCTAACCTCCTGCCCACCAGTAAGACTGCTCATCTTAACCATGGAAGCAGCAAACGCCTTCCCGAATTCAGCCTCGGACGCCGCGAATTTCTGCACCAAGGCCTTGGCCTTAGGGTTGGTGAGCAAAGCCTGGTCCGAAGAGAAGATGCTTTTTCCTCCAAGCAACATCTTGTAGTAGACATTGTCGAACCCGAACGTGGTCGAGTCCATGGTCGAACCGGCATTCTTGGCCTTGTTCTGCAAGGGGCAGATCCTCTTCAAGTTGGCCGCGAACGACGGGCTCAGGGTCGAGTCCACGTCGACGGTGGCACTGAAGTTGTGGATCCTGTTCTGGAACGACGAGCAGTGGGCGAACCCGAGAGTGTGTCCTCCCGAGAGGGCGACGAGGTCCTCCAGGGAGAGGCCTCTCTGGGAGAAGCTCTGCTGGAGCTGCGAGATGTTGAAGACCGGAGCTGGGAGCTGTCGGGTCTCGCTGGCCTTGGAGATTCGCCCGTCCTTTCGGCCTTTGGGAACGGCCCAGTTTGGGCCTCCGGACTGCAGGAATAGGTGTAAAATTGCGTTAGATAAAAAAAAATAGTATTAGAGCCTGGTTTCGATCCAGGGATCTGTGGGTTATGGGCCCACCACACTTCCGCTGCGCCACTCTGATAATACGAGAGAAATTTTCAATGACAACCCAACTAATTATGTGCTTTAATTTTGGGAGTTACTTACCAAGGCGACAGCATCTCTAGCGGCCAGAGCAAGAATATCAGCGCAGGAGACAACTCCCGGACACATTTTTTCCACGGCTTCCTTTGCATGGTCAATTACATAGAATGCGTGGAGGGAAACATTTGGCGGCCCATCTTTCTCAGCTACGTTCTTTTTGGTTGACTTGAGCAGCACGGAGGCATCACAACCCTTCAAATCACCCCCACAAAAAGTCAAAACATATATGGTGTCAGAGCGTGTTTGATACAACAACAGAAAAAGGATTAGTCCGACGATGGAAGAATGTCGTCTAAATTCGAACCTTAAGACTAACATCATCGATCAATATGGTAATATCGAACTAAGCCAAAGTGAAGGGGGGGAAAATGTTTATTCGACGTACCCTAATGAAACAATCATGGAAGTGCATCCGGAGGATGGCAGCAGGAACCGTTCTGTCGTTCTTCATGGCCTTCTTGACGGCGTTGGTGACGGCCGACTCGAAATTAGGGCAAGTCTTGTCGTAGTAGTTCAGGCTAAGTGAACTAACAGAAGAAGAAAGGATGGTGAAGATCATAAGGAAGGCTAGAAGAACAGAACCGGCCATGGCTGACATGTCTTTTCTTTTCTCTTGTTGTTTCTACTTCTTTGGTTGTTGCTTTCAATTGTAGGATGGAGGAGTCAGAACAGAGATGGAGATGCTACTTATACATGGAAGAGTCGACGGATTTTAGAAAACAAATGGCCATGCAGAGAGAGTTGTTGGTTGGGGATTAGAGTGGTTAGCATATTTGGTGATCCGAAAGTACTATTTGGTGGAGAGGAGTGGAAACACAAAGGGGTTTTGTTATTAGTTGTTGATGGGAGCTTTCATATTGAGTTGATATCACATGGAGATTTGGAATAATTTGATGTAATGGGTGAAGGATAGGAAGTAGTTATTTGGTTAGGATGTCAAAAACCTCGTTTAGGATGTAGCAATTGTTCTTTTACTGTTTACAAACATTCCATATCTCCAATTTTTCAAGGTCCACATTTCAAGTCTTTGTATAATTTAAATTGGTAATTTCTTTTGTGGTTTTCACTTGAAAATTAAGAAATATGTGATACTACAAGGCTTACAAGCACTTGGATCGGTAAAATATAAACAAGATAGGTTTGACGTCGTTCAATTTCAATAACATCGTCATTAGTTGCTCTGTTTATATAGCAAGAGGATGGGGTGATGTGAGAGAGAAGGGGATAAGTAGCCAATGTGACACATGGGCTCATCGCCTACTACAATTCTACATACAACTTAGCCATGTTTTAATGAGATTAGATCAATATGAAGGAATATTGTTAATGACTCGCGACATAATATTTATTTCGAAAGAGAAGGAGAACCGTTAATAATATATATTTACCAAAATACACATAGGAAATTACTAGGAACAAAACCACCTAGTCTGTTAAACTTAAACTTCAATTTCCTTAACTCCACCTAAAATTTTAACTGAAATTTTACTTAGAGCTTCCACTCGATGAGACCAACCGTACATATAAAAACAAACCACCTATAAGTAACAAACCACCTAACGAGTGAACAAACCAACAAACAACCATGTCAACAACCTATATCGGTTTGGCCTTGTCAAAATCAAAGTGGTTATAAGTACTCCAAATTCGACGACAAGGGTCTGTTATTTGACACAGACATGCAGTAAGTAAAGAAAAGAAAACTAAGAAAAGGATTTGTGATGAAGTAAGTAAAATATAATGCATGGGAAAGAGCAGCAGAAGTAGAGATGTTGTCATCCCTAAGGGAAGTGGTTGACCTGCAACTCCAAAAGCTTCATATTCAAGCAATAGACTGTCCCTTCCGATGTGGGGCACATCGATTAGGTCATTTGGAAGAAGGTGTCCGAACGGAATTTGCGTGTTGATGAGTGGGATGGAAATGGTCAAATGGATCGTGGGTTACGTTGGGATGGTTCTATTTAAATGGCCATTAATGATGGTGATTTGCTCGAGCGAGGTGGGTGTATGTTGACCTTAATTGGTGTCCATATAATAATAATCGAAAAATTTGCATCTCATGCATTGCATATTGTGTATTAAAGACTTTGTTTTCATGAAGAAACTTTTAATGTGTGATTATGTTGTATTTTATGATGGTGAAATTGTGAGTGATGGTTAATGAATTGATGTACGAGATTGAGGTTATAAGTTTATGATATGAGTAAAGTCAATGCATGACTTGAATTAATTGCTGATTATTAGGAGTATTATAACTAGATTTATAATTAATGAGGAATTAGATTGAGATGGAGCTTATTTGATGGACGACATTTGATGACTTATAATTTTAAGTGAATTGGACTACATGCTTAAATTATTTGTGTGTGCATCATGTAGTCTTCACTTTGTAGGTAGGAACAACCACACATTCAGTTCAGTTGACTCGCGTGTTTATAGTTATGACAGATGTGAGAAATCGTAAATAAACCTTGAATTGTATATATATCGATGGAGGATTTGATTTGAAGATTTTTTTTATAAGGCTGACATATGTTCGTATGTAATGTTAGATGTTGTTTAATAGATTTGAACTTTGGGGCCTCCAGATTAAGGGTTTGTTCTAGTGATTTGAATGTTTTTACCAATCTTTGTATTCCCAAATTCTATCAAATAGCAAGATATAAGCCGAAGGTAACACAACCGAGTTGGTCGGGAGTGTGGTCTTTCGGGCCAGAAATGTGTGAGGTCTCGGGTTCGAACCCCACTACATGACCACTTGGTATTCCCGGAGGCACCGCGAGTGCTGGAGACTTTGTCCCCCCCCCCCCCCCCACCCCACAGTATCGGGTGCTAGACCTTGAAAATGTTACTGATACAGGTACTCCCCATGTTGAGTAGACCCCGCTACCATGAAGTGGCACGTGGGGTTGAGGTTTCTAGGTAATAAAAATATATAACAAGATATAAACTTGTTAAATTTATGAACTAAATAATTTGATACCAATATAAATATTAGATCAATCAATAATGAAATATTGATTATCATTCTTTTCTCGTTGTCTAATTAATACATGTATCTACTATCTATCTATCTATCTATCTATATCTATATCTATCTATACTTAATATTATGGCTATTCAAAAGTAACTTCTTGCCACATAAGCACTTGGTGAATTCACAAGATGCCAAGGTGTACAATTTTTTTACAAACAAAAATTTATTTATTGATCTATTTATGGAGCTATCTCTCTCTTCTTTTAATACTTCTACTCATTTTTACTAAAACTTAAAATAAGTTAATTTTTTGTGACACATTTAAACAAACAAACACACATAAGTAATAATCTTTTCTTCAATTAAACAAACTATAAAGATAAAAATAGAGAATGACATATATAGTGTTTGTTTAACCCAAAATATCTTATTAAATCTCATTAAGTAAATTTTCTATTCATTTTTACTAAAAATTTATAATAAGTTACATTTTGATAATAAAAAAACAAGCACACACATATGAATAATAATAATTTTTCAATTAAAACAAATTAAACGATGGCCTAGGAGAAAATGAGCGTTTAACAATCAATCATTTTTGAAAAATGAACTATATGACTATATATTTTTTGCTATCAAACACTCACTTCTTCCTAATGAATATACTTATAAAATAAAACAAGTATAATTTATATAGAAAAAGGTCTGAAGATAAATTTGACATAACGATAATTGTTATTTTTTTAAAATACTTCTTATTCATTCCGTTTAAATGAAAAACATATTAATTATGAATACAACCTTTTAATTTATCTCTACCATTTAACCATTTTGATTGTCTCTCTAGAAATAAAATCCAACATTGAAATAAGAAATTAGATAGAGAAGGAAATGGTAATGCATATGCAGTTTTTTTTTTCTTTATAGGAGAATAGAAGGAGGGAGGTACACGAGGAAAGGATTAGATGGCAAAATTTTGAGCAGTTGTAACATATTTTAACCTGTTGATGAAATCAGTTCATCCTATCATTGCGAAAACGAGGTGAACCAAACCGAGGATTGTCGACTGCTCCCTCTTCCTCCTTGATCTAAAGCTGGCAACTGGTCACTCTTTTTTCCATTATTTTCTTAATTTCTTCCAAATTAAAACTGCTGGATGATAAATTTCTCCACTTGATGAGCGAATGTATTTCTTCTTCGTTTTCACGGAGTTGTTTTATGTTCTCTATTACGTCATATACTTTTATGTAAATAGGTAATATATGATTAGAAAGGATAATTGGTTGGGCATAGGGTATATGTCCTTTGGTTGAATAATTGATCTTTTACTTAAATGTCTATTGCAACCCGATTCCTTAGATGTTGAAATGGAAAGTAGAGTTGTGAGGGTTGTTCATTATATTACTTATGTTCATGATTGACATGCTACTAGCTAGCTATAAGATGATGATCTGGTTAGTAATTAGTAGGTAGCAAGGAGATTATAAGTAGAAGGGAACATAATTGGGGGTTTTATAAAGGTCGCGAAGAAGAAAGAAAATGACGGTGGCGGTTCCTCTGTTGTGTATTTTGATGTTTTTTCAATTTCTACACGTTTGCAATGACATTTGTTTGTTTCATTATGGTGAATTTCTCCTCATTAAATCTTTAACTAAAGCTTGATTTTGACATGATTATTTTCTTACCAACTACTATTTTGATTGGTGCATAGATTCAGTTCACAAATTAGGAATCTGCAAGATAGAATGAGTTGAGTTGTATGGAAGTATGCTCCTTTCATTATTTGTCTATGTTGTTATTAGGTAAAAAGCACTATTTTTTCCTTTAGGAGATATGCAGCTCTCTATAAATTATAAATTGTGTTTATATGCAGTTTAGTTTGCTGAAAATATTTTTTTTAATAAATTAGTGACTACTGATAGTTCTTTTTGTGGTCGGTTTTGCTAGAATGTTGACAAGATAAATTAATTGAGCATGCAGAAGATTGATGGATGTGGATGCTAATGTGTTTCATCATTATTCCAGAATTGCAGGTGTAACTGATAATACACGATATTCGTGAGATCAAGATCAAAATATTCTCTATTATTATATACCGACATAGGAGAAGGGAAAGAACGGTCTACAAAGAGCTCAGTTAATACAATTAAATTTTTCATAAATAAAAAAGGTATAAAAGTATGAGACATTATCTAAATAAGGTAAGTGAGATTTACAATTTCATGTATATTAAATCAACAAACATAAATGATAATAATGATTAGAATACTATTACGAATTATAAAATAATCAAATGTAATGCACAGGCCAAACGGGCGGGTAAAAAACTAGTCTACACATAATATAATACGCCGAAGGGAAAAACGGGAGCTCCATTTCAAATTTCCTACAACGAGAGTGAAAGTAGGAAGGACATTTTGGTCTTCACAATTACTTTTTTTTATTCATTAAAAAGACACGTACTGGGATTCGAACCATGACCATTTTAAAGAAAAGCAAGGATAATAACCAATCACACTAAGCACATTTGTTGTATCTTTTTAAATTAAAAACATATAATAGCAGGGAGGAAAAAACTCTTCCCCCATTTCAAATCCCTGCTCCATGAGCGTTTGTAGGAAGGGTAGAATAGGGAGTGTCAATTTTTTTTCTCTTTCCTCTGTGGAACGGGCCAACTTACCGTACACATGTGAATTTAAACGGGTCCAGGAGTGTCAATTTTTTTTTCTTTAAGCCCTTTTACTTCTCCGTGGTGACAAAATATATATGAAAAGGTAAAAATAATACTCCTTTTTATTGTTAAAAATAAAACATTTAACAATAAACTAATGCATGGTATCTAATGGGCTAACCGCCAACCATAAAATAAAAGAGTTGAATGTGTCTGACCTACATGGGATTTGGCCATCAAGTAAAATAAATGAACATCATTGGTTTGTCATTCTAAAATACGCTAATTTCTCTGACATAATATATATTATGCTATTATTTTATATCTTAGTGGCTAAAATATAATGTATTTTAAAGTTATTCAATGGTTCAACCTCGACCAACACAATTAGTCCAATTTTTATCATTTCAAATATATATTTTATAATTATTTGATATCATAATGATCAAATTATAGTGTATTTTATAGGGAATCGTTTGGTATTTGTTAGTAAAAAATTAAACATAAAGATCTATTTGGTTATTTTAAACATTATAACGATCCTAAACATTTTCAGTTTCTTTTGAATTTCTATGGTTTTATTTCCGAATAAGTGATGTGCAAATGGCGAATTGTAGTCGTCTCTTTTCTTTCACTATTTTTTATTTTCAAATAGAAAGTTTAAAAGTAAAGAATAATTATAATTTGGCATGGGTCGTCAAACAGGCTGAATTTCAAGTTTTGGCCCGTTTGTTTTATGCATTGCAAATTTATTAGCATTTTGATGGAAATGGCTTGGAAAAAAGACATATAAGTTGTACCTTTGCAGAAATGTCCTCAAATGTTTTAATGCTTTGTGAATCAGGTTCCGTGACTTTTGTGATGGTGTATGTGCTTGACAATTGCTCGATGTTGTAACTGCTTAATTTGAGAGTAAATCTTTTGATTTTCCCTATGAGTTGTGATACCAGTTCTGGTGGTTGCAGCATGTTGTCGTTGTTAGCCTGTAAAAGTTGTTCCGCCGTGGTGCTAAATACCTTTCTTTCTTTTTTAACAAATTGTGTAGTAGTGCTATGAAACAGACCACCCATGAACGCTACGCTTATTATGGTATGTTCTTACTTCCGGTGGTGAGAAATTGTGAATTGAGAATCATATTCGCCTACCGCACTGTGTCTGGCTGGTGGCTGCTTACTGTGCTCTCTAGAGTTATGAAACAGACTACCCATGAACGTTTCCCTTAAGAGTCCATAACTTTTGCGAAAAACCAAATTTAGGCAATCAAAGGTGGTGGATGTGTGATGATTTTTTATGGCTTAATTGTTTGTGAATTGGATATCTGATCTTTGTATGATTGGAGGGGATGTTTGCTTAATAGAATAATCCATTTTAATTCATGTTTATTTTTAACATGAACTTTAGTAACTCAAAACCTTCGAGACACATATCACCTACTGCATTGTATCATTTTGCCTGGGTGCTTGCTGTGTTGTCAAACTTCTTTGTTGCTGCTGCTGCTTTTACACTAACAGGGGGGTTAAGAACCCATGAATGTTTCCGTTTGACACAAACAGGAGGACTTGCTTCTAAATCGTGCACTAAAGATGATTGGATTAAACATCTCTATTGCAGTTGATATACTGGAGACCAGAACAAAAGCAATGTATAACATCAAAACCAACCATCTGAACTATTAGCATTGTTGCTTTACTATTTTTTCGTGGTTGAGTCTCCTTCAAAAAATTTAGTTTGATTTTAGAAAATTTTGCTTCTGCAGTCCTGTCTTGCCACCAACGCGTTCAGTAGATGGAGATGGCAGAGGCGAAGGCTATTTTTGTGTTGTTGTTGCTGGTTTAGGGATCGGTTTGTGAAGAAAAGGGAGAAGAGAGGGGGAAAGGGAAATGCAGGAGAGGGGGGTAACTCTTTTCTCTGACAAAAATGGAGTGAAGAAAGGAATTATGATCAGTAAGGATATGGTTATCTTACATAACTGTCTCTATTCTGTTTGAATTGAGCTTGGAAGGCAGTGATAAGGACGAGCTGCAACCAATTCATAGTGAGAAGAGAGCTATGAACTGTGATCATGTCTTATTTCAAGTTAGAAGGTAGTTTCAGTATAAGGATTATTTAATTTGACAAGTTGTTTTGTCCATGATTCTTGGTAGTTTCAGTACCATTCTAGCCATTGTTTAGTCTGTAATTTTTGAGAATTGATGTGCGAGTAATGACTTTCACTTAGCTTCAACTATTATGTGTGTATTTATTGGCATGTGATAGAAATCTCTTTTCCTTTTCTTTGAATTCAGTTTCATACTCTAATTGTATCATTTGTACATAGGCAAATCATGCTCGAGATGACAACTCGCTGATAAGGCTGGTGCAAGGAACGGAGCCATCATTAGAATTCATACCGACAACGGGGAGGGATGCCCAGGACTAATTCAATGATGATTGATGATGGTATAATAAAAACTGCAGTCTGCATCAACACCAATTTCTAGGCCTAAGTAATGTTATTCAACCCAGAACTCTGCTTAGCGCTAAAAATTTCCCTCCTCCGACCTTGATCCTGTTTGACCCACTTCTGAAGAGTCAAGATATATGAATATGACTAATCCTCTCCGTTCGTATTTTCTTATTGACTCTTTCTGACCCTTTAGGTTGGGGCGGGTCGGGAAGAATCGGATTAGTGGGTCGGTCCTAATCAAGTGGAATCCCAATCCCTTCACTCTCACTTGCTTTCTCTCCTATTCCACAAGTGGGTAACATACAGTAATCCGGCCAACGGGCCGGGTAATAGGCTAGTCTACACATAATATAATACACCGAAGGGAAAAACGGGAGCCCCATTTCAAATTTCCTGCAACGAAAGTGAAAGTAGGAAGGACATTTTGGTCTTCACACTTACTTTTTTAATTCATTAAAAAGACACGTAGTGGGATTTGAACTATCACCATTTTAAGGAAAAGTAAGGATCATAACCAATCACACTAAGTACATTTGTTGTATCTTTTTAAATTAAAAAGATATAATAGCAGAGAGGAAAAAACCCTTCCCCCTTTCAAATTTCCTGCTCTAGGAGCGTTTGTAGGAATGATAGAATAGGGAGTGTCAATTTTTTCCTCTTTCCTCTGTGGAACGGGCCAACTTACCGTACACATGCGGATTTAAACGGGTTCAAGAGTGTCAATTTTTTCATTAAGCCCTTTTATTTCTCTGTGGTGATAAAATATATATGAAGAGGCAAAAACAATACTTCTTTTTATTGCTAAAAATAAAAAAAATTAACAATAAACTAATGCATGGTATCTAATGGGCTAACCGCTAACCATAAAATAAAAGAGTTGAATTGGTTTGACCTACACGGGATTTGGCCATCAAATAAAACAAATGAACATCATTGGTTTGACATTCTAAAACAAGCTATTTTCTCTGGCATAATATATTATGCTATTATTTTATATCTTAGTGGCTAAAATATAATGTATTTTAAAGTTATTCAATGGTTCAACCTCGACCAACCCAATTAGTCCAATTTTTATCATTTCAATTATATATTATATAATTATTTGATATCATAATGATCAAATCATAGTGTATTTTATAGGGAATCATTTGGTATTTGTTAGTAAAAAACTAAACAGAAAGATCTATTTGGTTATTTTAAACATTAAAACGATCCTAAACATTTTCAGTTCCTTTTGAATTTCTATGGTTTTATTCCCGAATAAGTGATGTGCAAATGGCAGTCATCTCTTTTATTTCACTATTTTTTATTTTCAAATAAAAAGTTTAAAAGTAAAGAATAATTAGAATTTGGCATGGGTCGGTCAAACAGGCTGCATTTCAAGTTTTGGCCCCTTTTGATCAAGTCTAATTTATAATCACATGGTTCCCTGATACCCGATAAAAATCTCAATCCAAACCAGTTTGGCAGGTGAGTCCGTGTTTACCACCATTTTCTAGGGATACGACAACGACGGTTCCTATCCCAAATCGTGTTGTTCGTTCTTGATTTCCTTAGATTTTATCATGGCCTGAAAAAACCCAGAAAGCACAATGTCGACAAGATGAAAGTTTTATAAACCAAATTAATCGGCCAACGGGCCGAGTAAAAGCTAGCAACGATTGTGAGATGCTCATTTTCCGAAAACCGACGGGATAGGCGATTTTTTATTCGATTTTCTGGAATTCAATTTCTATAAAACTTACTCCACCTCATCATATTACCAGAAACAATATTGTTTCACAAGGTAACAGGTACTTGATTTTGGTTCATAAGGCCGATTTTTTATTTGTTGCATCATTAATGTCTCTTTCCTGCTAAAATTCACTATTTTTATCACGTGTTTCCCAAAAAAACTTTACAACAATAAGTTATACACCCCATTATATTATCAAATTTCATACCTCACCTTCCTTTAGGGATGACAACAAAACCCGAACCCACGGGTACCCACCCGACCCAACCCGGTCAACGCGGGTAAAATCCGTGTTGACGGGTTTTGGGCCGGGTTTGGGTTTAAACCCGTTCAATATTCATCGGGTTGGGTTGGGTTTGGGTTTAGGTAAACCCGACCCATGGGTACCCGCCCACACCCATATAATTAATTTTCTCGATATATTTAATATTCTAAACAACTTATCTTATTTATGTTTGCGGAGACATGTCTAATTTTTTCTTTCTAATTGTGTAGAATGAAGTTGATGTTATCGAGTGGAGAGTGAAGAAACTTAATTGAAAGGAAGAAGCTTTCAATTAATCATGTTATTTATGGATAATTTGTTATTTGCTTGAATTTTCTAGAATGGTATTTTATATATAGATAATTTGTATTGAGAGATTGATATTTGACTTTAATTTTGATAGGAACTTGTTATTGTAAATTTTTTAAGACAAAAACCTGTGGGTACCCATGAACCCGCGGATACCCAGGGGGTTGAGTTGGGTTTGAGTTTTTCAAACCCAGTGGATTTTACCCCGAATTTTTTTCACGGATAAACCCATGAATTTGGATTTGAATTTGGCAAAACCCGACCCAACCCGACCCATTGCCATCCTACCTTCCTCCGGCCAACTGGCCGGGGCCCACACTAGTACTCATAATACGCTGAAGGGGAAAACTGAATCCCCATTTCAAATTTGTTGCCTCCGGAGCGTTTCTCGGAGGGGTATTTTCGGATACGGGAAAATACATCGGTTCATATTGGGACGTTGAGCGGGCCAGACGATTTTTTTGTTCCGTCAGTCCGATCAGCGCTCGCTCCGTTCATTGTCGTCACCGGTTTGTTAAACTAAACCCACAACCGTCACTCCCGCAGCGGTTGTCCTTCCTTCCTCACAAGAATAAGATCTCGCCATCTCGACTTCTCTTTCCCACATCTCTAGTTGGATCCATTTATTTGGTGTTGTTCTCCCTCTCAACTCAAGAACTTCGCTATATCCATCTTCCTTCCGTACGATCAGTAACCTGCTAGAGCAGCAACCAATCCGTCAGCACCGGCCTGTATGTTTCTATTCGACTGGTTCTATGGAATTCTGCCATCTCATGGGTTCTTCCATCTTCCTTCCTTCACATGTTGAAAGACGAGGTTTGCTTCTTTCTTCCCTTTGATTTCAGGTTTTTATTTTCTAGGTCCAATCGATTCAAAGGAATCTAGATTTAATATATGGTGGCCTTTTGGCGGGGGATCTGTTTGCTTATCGCTCAGTGCGTATTGCAGAGACTATCAGAAACCATCAGTTGTTCGTTGATGGTTTGTTCTATCTCTTCCTTCCTCACAATGTTGTGTCTGTTTCCTTTTTAGGCGGAGATAACACTGATGAGGTGCAGAAGTCGGATTCCAGCAAAAAGCAATTAAGACTAGGTGATCGAGTGTGAATGAAAATCTTAAAGTGTTGATTGTTTTGGGGTTTCATAAGTAGATAGTATGAGGATGAGGTTGGTGGAAGACGAGTTCGTTGAATCCAGTCTGAGGTTGATATGCTGCGATCCAAATCTCTGGTGGGCATGCACAGAAAATTGCCTATTAAGAAATTTGGTGTTCCAGTTACACGGCCAGCCTCTGACTTTTGTTGATTCTTCTCTCTCTGGTCAATTATTTCTTTCATGTTTCTTTGTTGGGTTTGTTCCCTTTTCTTCAATCAAAAGGGTCTGCTTTGTCTCTTTTCCAGGGAAATATGGCGGTACTAGGCAACATAGTACCTTGAAAAGTGGTGTGCTGACACCAACACTCTGTAGATTGCAGCAAGGAAAAATAGATTTGCAGAGCTCAAGGAAAATTATGGGGCACTAGAGCTTGCCCTGGAAATCAAGACGATTTCGAACCAGAAAATGTTGCCAGCTGCAGGTTCTATTTGCTCTATAGAGTATATACTCAAGGATCCTTACAGAATTATTGATGATGGTTTGTTCAACTTGGATTCTCTCTTCTTTGGATGCCTCTTTTTTTATATAAGATGATCTCATTATAATAATTGGATAGTGAATGGTTTGTTCAACTACATAATGAATGCAGGTTCTTTCCTCAGAATTCCGTTACGGGTTCTTCCATCAGAAGTCCTTCATCTTTACTACTTTTCTCTTTGAGATATAGTTGTTTCTGTAACCCTATTATAATGCCTTTGACAGCCCACAGAAGAACATCAATGCCTCCAACATTTAGAATTTGTGTGATATAATGATCCATGTATTTGTGGTGTCTTCACAGGTTCCCATGGATACTTTTTCAGTAGTATGTTGCTCCCCAAGACCCCAACTGAAGTGGTTTCATACAAATAATCTGGTGCAATGCACTTTTATTTATGTACAAACACAACAATGTGATATTCTAAAGAACTCAGAAAGTTTCCTGTAAGTGCTAACCACTTTAGATTTGTGGTATGTTCCTTTTATGTTCTCCACTCACTATTTAGATTGAACTGAGTTTTCTCTAGAAAAGCAGTGCTAATGTTTGTGTACATTAGACCTTTTTATTAAACATGATGAACTGTGTTTCATTTTTCTCGAGGGTTACTCTGCTACGATTGTTGGTTTTGGACTGGTGATTTTTGGCCGAGAATATCGGAGTAGGAATTTGCATAATGACATACATACACTTGATTTGAAACTCTGATTTGAGAATCAATGGACACAATGTAAGCAATTTTTATTCTCTTAAAAATTTTGGTTGTCCTAAATTATGAATTAAACTCTTATGCTCTGCCTTCACATGAATTTTTGGTTTTTTAACAGTTCCTTTGAACTCCTCTTAGTTTTGGGACTGATTTTGCCTTTTTTGTAACAATTTATGGTTAGTTACTCTAGCTTTTATGCTTTCTTACAGAGTTTTGTAGTTGCAATGCTTTTTTCTTCTTCATGGAATTAATGCTAAGCTGTAATTGTACAAAGCGGTTAGTTACCCTATAGCTTGCTGAACAGTTTCATTTGTTGTAATTATTGTTGGGGATTTAGGGGGTCATTTGTTGTAATTGATCTTCTCCATATGCTAAGCTGTGATTTTACAATAAGGGGTTAATTAGCATGTACCTAAACGTTTGGTTCATACTGGACATATGCAGGTCACTCTTGAAGTCCCCCTTTATTCTTCAATAAGGGGCTGGTAGGATAGATCAGGCTCTTATTATTATGGTTATAATGATTCCTTACTCAGTTTTGATTAATGTGATTCAAGTTTCATAAAAAAAAAAACGATTCAGGTTTTTGTCGAGTTGTTGTAATCATTGATTTTCCTTTGTTTACCTTGAATCTAATTTGATTGGATTATATGTTTTTCGTTGAACTTTCAGATATTTCCAGTTATTGAACTCTATTAAGTTACTGAAGTGAGTGGAAGTTATATGTTTCTGTTGCCCGTGTTTTGTAGAAGGTTGTTCAATTACAAATTGCTTGGTTCCTTAAACTGGATAACACTAATTCATTTGACAATGGAAAATTATGTGCATTTATAAAAATTTGGACCATTACTATAACTACCAGCTAATCTTTCTATCTTAGTACAAGGAAAATTGGAACATATAGTTTTACTTGAGTTACGAGCTTTTTAGGAGTGGACACCGTTGATGTTAGTTTCAATGGTCATTTAAAAGAATTTCATAAATTCCTAACCCGTGGTTGTATTGGTGATAAAAAGAGTGATGGAGGTTTGTCGGAACTATATGCGTTGTATGGGTGCCAAATTTTAGCCATAGCCCAATGAGAGCAAATCTTCTTTTGGTGGAGCTAAAATCATCAATCTAGCTCCAAATTTGGCATTTTAGCTCTTAGTATTACAGAAGATAAAAGAAGTTCAACTCAAATAATCTTTTTCATTGAAACTCCTTGAATTCAAGGTATGCAATGGTCAATGGCCAAACTCACTTCCTGAAACGAGACAATTTCAATTTATGAGAAGATAAAAATGAGATCATTCATTAGAATTAATTACGATTACAATCAATTCCATTAGCTGATAGAAGGAACTCACTTCCTATTCAGTAGAAGCTTTGGCTGGAATTAATAAACATTGTTTGGTTAATCTGTCTAATTTTTTTATGCTTGATAGAAATGAATTGAAAAGAAGGCAACTATGATATCATTTTGTGATGTCCTTAATTCACTTATAAGTTGTTTGTGTTTCTGTAATTGAAAGCGTTAAGCTAAACTAAAATGAAACTCGATTATGGGATAGAGTTGCTCAATCTAGAGAGTTTGTTGTGTGTTTCTGCCTGATCTGGAACTCTGTTTGTCTTGTTGAAAATGCCCATCATTCGATCAAGTTGAGCAACCTGTATAATATCTAACTGCAAGCAAAAAGGAATAGTAGGTTCCTTAGTGGTTGGTTTAGCCATCCATCTCTTGAACATTGACTGTATGTGACATGTCTTTCCAACTACCTGCACATTGACCTGTAGGCTTTAGATGATATCAGATTGGTTAGCTTCTTTGCAACAAAATTTACTTAATTGTAATTGTCATGGTTCGTGGACAAATGTATGTTGGATTCAAGCCGACTCTGTTGGAGAATATATCATTATCTTGTGGTTTGAGAATATGTTCTTCTTTCTCTATCCATTTAGCTGGAATTGTTAGGCTTGGTTCAACTAGGGGTTTGTAGTTTTACTGGTTGAGCAGAGATTAATCTAAATTGATAAGGGGAGTTAATGGTATTCTCTTTCTGATCTCATGTAATTATATAATGAAGTTGAAGTTTTTTTATGCTATTCAATTTCATTGGTATGTTTTTAATGGTCTAACTTCATGGTTGTACCAACTTCTGATGTACTGTTTATGTTCCAATATATTCACTTTGGTATGATTATTAGGGATATGCTAGGCGGTACTCACCATTAGACCAATTTAGCTTAATGGTTGAATCTACGGGTTATCCCAATAATTCAATATTCGGCTCAGCTCCTCCGACCAACGGGTCGGGTTATAAGCTAGTTATATATGACATACAAATATTAGAGTATTTGATTATAACTTAGTGTAGAATTTAGTTTAGGGGTTCGACTATGTACATTAATAAATAAGCTTCAGCCAAACTTGTAAGCTAATTAATTAGACAAATTTTGAGGGGGGGAAACTCAGTGAAACAGAAGTCAAAGATTCAGTAGACGCAATTTTAGAAGGAAAGCAACTATTCAGAAGGTTGTTGTCCCATTTCTCCTCTTTTATGCTAATCAGTTCACCAACTATAGAATCCACAGGTATCCCCCTTGGTTCCGAGCTAACAAATCGAACCTCTCCAATGGAAGCCAATTGTTCCCCCAAATCTTGACACTCGTCCCATTTCCAATATGCCATCTTAGTCCACTAATCAAGAACTCTTGAGCACTCAACAAGCTTTACCAAATAAAGTTGGGGTTGTGACCGACTCGTGCATCAAGAATGGAAAAATTCTTATGGTATTTTGCACGTAAGATCGTCGCAATCAACGAATCATCCCTCTGATACAACCGCCACAACGACTTAGCTGGCAAGCAGGTGTTGAAACATTGCCACTAAATGACACTGCAGACTTCTGAAAGTTTATCTGCTCGCATGATTCCTTCTCATAGGCCTTGAGGATCTCTTTGAGCTTGGAGCTCTCATGCACATTCACCCTGCCAAAAAAACACAACATCGTAAGCGAAAAAAGGTGTGACACCATTGGGGCCCTGACCGCTAGCTGAATGGCATGAAAAAGATTTTCTTCAACCGCTTTCTTCGTGTAGGCTGATAGTCCCTCGACACATAATAAGAATATGTATGGTGACAGAGGATATCCTTGCCGCAAACCTCGCTCTGGCTTGAAGCTTGGTGAATAGTGTCCATCGACCATAATGGAGTATGACACAGTTGTTACACACATCATGATCATTCATACCCATCTTGCCCTGAACCCCATCTTCACCATCACCCCTTCCAGAAATCTCCACTCTACTCTATCGTAATCTTTGGGCATGTCTATCTTAGCTGCAAATAAGTCGTGCCCACCCTTCGTCTTGTTTTTCTTTTTCATCGTGTGAAAATATTCGAACGCCGCCATTATATTGTCTGTGATGAATTGTTTGGGCACAAAAGCACTTTGATCCGGCAATATGATTCTGTCAAGTACGACTTTCATCCTGTTTGCCTACACCTTATAGACCAACTTATAGAGAACATTGCACAGGCTTGTTGGGGTAAAGATTAATAGTGATGTGGGCTTGGTGGATGGAGGAGGAGATGGGTTGGGAGTCGTGGTAAGAGGAGATGATGGCATATTCTTATTTGATGCAGCTAAGAGGGTTACGGATGTCGCTGATGCCGAAATGGGTGAGGCCCTCACAATAGAGATGGGATTTCAGCTTGCTCTCCAAATACAGGTTGCAAACCCCATTCTAGAGTCCGATTGCTTGAATATGATTCAAAAGCTACATGACCCGGGGTTAGATCAGATGGAACTCGGCGTAGTTTGTCGAAACATCATACGCTTGTTGGAAATGATAGGGAACGAAAGTTGGCATGATGTTTGGATTGATAGACCTACTATTTATATTATTGATCAGTTGTAGCTGGATTATGTAACCTCATCTTCTGATTAATAAAGTTCTCAAGGTTTCCCATAAAAGAAGATTCAGTAGATGTGTGGCCATGGTAGTTGTACATGTGCAATGATATCAATGTATATGTGCAATGGTAGTTGTATCAATGCAATGGTAGTTAAAAAAAAATTAATGCAATTAATACGAATTTTTAATTCCCAAATATTATTAAATGCAACATGAATTTAATACCCAAAATAACTATAATTAATAAGGGGTGTTATTTTTTCGAATCCTTAGAAGCTAGTCAAACTAACTCATCACTATTTGATAGGGAATGGGATGGGATGCTAATCCCATACCCCGTTAGCACCGTCCTAACCAATAGATCAGCTTCCTTTTTTTCGGCTAATAAAAGAGTTTTTTAATGAGAGGGGTATTTTTGTCAGATCAGTTTAATTAGCTGACATCATTGCTTGAAATCAGTCGGGATACGTGTGCAAGTTTATGGTGGGATCCCAACAGTCTGTAGTTTCGGTTTTGGGGTGAGATTTTTTTCTTCCTATTGACCCAGCGAAGCCGGAGAGTTTCCGCCAGTCGTTCCCATCGTTGTTCGCCTGAACTATCCTCGGCGACGCATCCCTTCGCTCCTCCGACCTCGTCGCCGCCCTGTGCTCCTGCGACCTCCTCTGCACCTACGAACTCGACGACGCCCTCCGCTTCTCCGACCTCGTCGCCGCCCTCCGATCTTCCCAGTTCGTCGTCGCCCTCTGCTCATCCGAGATCGTCGCCGCCTCAGGTAATAGTCAAACCTCATCAATCGTCCTTCCATCATCTCATATGCGCCATTGCATGCTCCCGTCCCTGCTCTGTTTTTTTTATCACGATCTGTCTTTTCATTGCATGTCCTCGTCCTTGCTGTGTTTTTTTTTTATCAAGATCTGCCTTTAAGGGAGGTTGTGTGTAGGTTTTTGTATCCAATCTCTGTTTTGGTTTCTGATCGGTGTGGGATGCATTTTTGTTTTCCGACGATGTTCAATTTACGGATGAGAAGGTGAAGAGTCCAAAAGGGCCAGTTCGTAGTGATTTCGTCCGTGGATAGTATTGTTTCGTTGGTAGTGATTCGTGTTAGGTTACACCTGACCGCGAAGTGAGTCCAGCTTTGATTTGGTAGTGATTCTTATCCTGATCAGTAGTGTTTTTGTGTGAGTTGTGGTTAGGAAGATGGCCATTGATTTCTGAATGTTTCCGAAGGCAGTAGTGTTTTCATAGATTTTTTGCAAAGTATACTCTTGCCCCCTGTAATGTTGGTTTGGTGTCGTAGCAAAATTATAGATGTTAGTAATGGTTTTGGGTTTTCGCCGTCTTTTAAATCCATTGTGGAGTTCTTTCTTGATAAACTACAAATAGTAAGGGGGAATTGATAGACTACAGTTAACAGTGATGTTTGATGTATTAAGGTGGAAATTGCAGGGTTTGTCTATGCAAGGACAAGGAGGTCAAATGTTGATTAGTGAATGAATGGAGCAAAATTTGGATAAAGAGAACGTAAAAGTTGACACCTTTCAATGTTTTTGGTTGGTGTTGTCAAGGATGGACATGAGAATTAGCCTTGAGTAGTAGTTATTTTGTTGTTACAGTAGTGCTTTCACTGGCAGTAGTAGTGGTTTTCTAATTCATGTAGTAGTGGTTGAGTCCAGTTGTGGTTTGCTAATGCTGCTAGACTAGACTAGTAGTTTTTTTCTTGAGACAGTAGTGGTTCACTTAGCATTTGAGTACAAAAGGTGGTTCCTGATTTTTTTGCGTGTTAATGAGTGATTCATTAATGATTCATTACCTAGTACGTAGTGATTTTTGAACTGGTTGAGGTAGTGGTTTCACTAGTTGTGACTGTAGTTTTATGCAATATTGTCACCATAGTCAGTAGTGTTTGGTTGGAAAACACTACCACAAACTCTTTCCTATAACTACTTCTCATAACTTTCTGTTTAAATGGATTTAGATAGAAAACACTAATACTGCCATTGGAATTGCTACAATCAAATTAAGGCCGCACAACTGGAATGAACTGAATGAATTAGTGTTTCCTGGGAAAAACTCTTCAAGTTGGATAGCAACGGTCTCCACCGGAAATCCCAACAAATCCGGCCCACTTCCCACTAAATTCAGCATTAAATCCGCTTTTCAAATTTTTAGCCATGTCTTCCTTTTCTACCCTTTTTATATTCGTAACAATTAAATTTAAAAGTTAGTTATCACGGTACTAACCATCTATAAGGTTAGCACCCTATCCTCTCCCATTTGATA